CAGGGGACACGGAAAGTGGTCTCAACTAGTCAGAACCCCACCTCTAAATTAGAACAATTTGTAAGCAAGGGAGCAGGGAAGCTATTCTATAGTAGTAGTAGTAGTAGTAGTAGTAGTAGTAGTAGTAGTAGTAGTAGTAGTAGACCTGCGTGCTGAATCTGAAAAACCAATGAAACACTGAACATGAACATGAACCTGCCCACCGAACAGCGGGGGGTTCTCGGACTTTTGACGTTGTGTGGCGCAGCACTTGCCAATTGCATGACATTTTCCCAAACGGTATGTTAGCTGAATCTCAGCTAGCTACGAGGATGCGCGTGTGCCATTGCCTGCCTTTGCACTCGTTGGAGAAGGGCCTTTCCGTATATATCCGTTTCCCCCTCCCTGCCCGCTATCGTCTTTGCTTACCTACCCTGCTAGGTCACCGCGCACTACTACAGTGAGTTGAGAGGAAGACTTGGCTTTCGAATCATTATTCAGTCAGGATGGCCCTGCACACGTAACCACATGTCCTCTGAAGACAACAACAGGCCGCGCAATCTAGCACAGTGGAATACCACCGCAAGGATGGTGTATCGGAGGAAGCATTATGCATTGGCCCACTAACCAGTTTTGCGTGGCGCAGTTCCTATCATGAGGAAGCACAATCTGAGTGGTTGCAGGACGACTATCTTGACTGGAAGAGCTCACTAACACTAGATGTTAGATAGGAAAAGACGTATCTCAGAGTGGGCGCGGCCTCTCAGGCCGCGGTCGATCTGGTGCGACCATGGTGGAAGGTGAACGACTGTGACCATGCGTGGAGTTTGGTCTATGACTTGTTAGAGCATAAGAAATTACTCCTCAGATCCGGAAGAGATTTAAACGGCCCTTGAAGACGAGAATGACTGGCTTGATATGACTAGGTCTACCATCCGTATCGATTATTATACGACATACTTGGACTACGGAGTTTTTATGAATTTAGCGGCACAGAAAAAGAAGCAGGAGGGGCGCCAGTTTCGACTGACCTGGTGATATCTCAGCACGATAACGATCATGGCCCTGTTGTTTATTTGCAAGCGACTCAAGCAGCCTGCAAACGGAAGCAGAAGTGATTAAAACCGTCTTGGTACTTGTTTCCCAGAGTTGTTTGTGGCTTTGAGTGATGGGAGATTGCAGCTCCTCGAGGAAGAAGCAAACATCTGCATATGTTTACACCCTTTATATATCCATGCTTTGTTGACAGTCGCTAAGATCCATTAAAGAGTCTATCACCTGGGGCTTGGTTTACTAGTTGAATCTGGTATTATCACACTGTGTCGAGTGTATTATCGGGTCATGCTGTCACTGCCTGCTATGAACCCATCACGCTACTCAATTCTCTCTCCTCTATAGGACCCTGGGCAAGTCGTCGTGGTCAACTCAGAGGAAAGTGAATTCTGTTTGCGATGATTGGATATTTGACAATGTGGGTGCGCTTTCTCATGGTGTCCGCTGGGTAGACAACTGCTCTGATATTGGGTGAAACGCTAGCTAGCTCTGCTTGGGTGGTAAGTGTTCAGAAACACGGTTCCCACCTGCAATGTTCGATGGCTTGTCCGCAGGTGCTGACGTCAATGACGAAACCTCAATTGACGATTATCTATTGTTCGTATCCCCCCGAACATGAACTTTGAATTAGCCTGATCTCTCCTGTCAGGTTCTATGACTATTTTTGGTGATGCGCTTTGAGACCCTGCGGATTCGAGGACCGCAGTGTCCCATCAAAGCAACCGAGTCCTCAACTGCTTTGGCGATCGATTTTAAGTGAACATGTCCAGGTTTCCGTTACCCGACTATGCCTATCATTTTCACTATGCTAGAAATGGTCGTCTAGACACCCCTTTTTGGCGGAGCGGATTGGTGGCTGACGCTTTCTTATTGTAAAGGTCGGCTGTCTTGTCATCCTCAGTATTGTACGGGGAACATCCGGACAGCCGACATAGAAAAGAGTTCTTTCGGTATGTTCCCCGAGAATGCTGCATGTCACTATGCTCGAAGAATACAGAGTACGAGGCGCGTTCGGCATTTCCCCGAAATTACGGGGTTGCTCCCCACAAGTTTCCGCAGATTGACAGTTCGGATTGAACAACACAGACGTTCCGGCGATGAAGGGCGATTGATAAAATCCCCAAGATGCAGGACGTTTGGGGGTTCGAATCATTTCAATTGTCGACAATAATCATCCTGTAGATATGTCTTCCAACGTTAAATGGACTGATGTGGCAAGTGAGTGCTGCATGAGCGAGTGGCCACAGCGGCGGCAATATTGGTTATTGACACTTCGCTCCAGATAATACCCACCCCATCTGGTACAAAGATGCGGGCTTGCGTCGCAACGTAGCCCTGGGTCTTGGTCTCTGCCTTGTAATTGCTACAAATGTGGGTATTTTCATCTGCCGTTTGGAAGCTGAGGCTAATAATTGTTGCAGGGATGTTAGTAATGGCGGGATTACTTAGACGATCGCCAAGTACTGAACTGATCGATATGTCATTAGACCAAGGAAGCCTTCTCACTGGGTTCCAGGCAATGCCTTCATGGCAGAAGTATGTTCACCCTTGCCGGTTCGTTGCGGCCTCGAGTTTGACTTTGCCAGATACTTCAAGAGCCCTACTGGCTCTCTGCTGGGTATCTACGCTGCTTCTTTCTTTATACCTTCGATCTTTACTGCATTTATTGGCGACTTCATTTCCACCAAATTGGGCCGTCGATGGTGTATCATTATTGCAAATATCATCATTACCATCGGCTGCCTTGTCAATACATTTGCCAGCTCTATCGGCATGTGGTGCGGCGGTATTTTCTTCTCTTCCCCTCGTGGTATTGGTCTCCCAGTTGACCAGTGTGTTCAGGTCGTGCTATTATTGGAGCTGGTGTGGGTATTGTGAAGGTTGCGGCTCCTGTATTGATCCAAGAGATTTCCCATCCTCGGCTTCGACCTATTCTTGGCTCCTGCTACCAAACATTCGCATACATCGGAAGCTTCTTTGCCGCTATCATGACTTGTGACTCAACCAACCCTACCAAAACCACGTTCTGAGCTAACCCGCGATGCTAGTTGTTGGCCTGTATGTTCCCGGTGACTGGGGTTGGCGATTCCCTTCTCTTCTCCAGGTAATCGGTCCAGTTGCTGTTATCATTGTGACCATGCTTTGCCCTGAATCCCCGCGGGTGAGTTTACCCTCCAAAGGACAAGGTTGAAATCCCCATCCACTGACAGGGTTGTGCAGTGGCTCATAAAGAATGGTCGCGACGAGGAGGCCGTCGGTGTTCTCGCCAGTTTGCATGCCAACGGTGACAAGGAGGACGCCCTGGTCCAACTTGAGATGAAAGAAATCCGCACTGCTATCGAACGTGAGGTCGTCCAGCGGAAAGCAAGTTTCTTAGACTTCCTGCGGACCCGTGGAAACAGGAGACGTCTGGCCGTCGTTGTAGCTTTGGCATGCTCCTTGAACTGGATGGGTAATGGTATCATCTCCTAGTAAGTCTAGTACTTCACCGTGTGCACGGGCACTTCAGCTGATGCTGCTGTAGTTTCCTATCGCCAATTCTCAAATCGGTTGGCATCACCTCCGCAGTCCAAATCACCTTGATAAACTCTGGTCTTGGTAAGGCTCGACGATCCCCTTTTTCCCTGCAGCCTCAAAGATCAAAAGCACAGGCGGGGTACAAATAGCTGACCTACCCTACAGCCCTTTGGAATCTAATCCTCGCTGGCAGCGCTGCGGTGTACTGTGACAAGGCTGGACGTCGACCTCTGTTCCTGACATCAGTTGCGGGGATGTTATGTTCCTACGTTGTTGTTATGGGTTTATCTGCCGGCTTTGCCAACACCAAACAGCCCTCACTTGGTATTGCTGTGATCCCTTTCCTATTTATGTGAGCTGCCCTTGGAGTCCAAGAGTGAGGGACTCGCTGACCGTTTCAACACAGCTATTTCGGATTTTATGACATGGCGTTTACTCCTCTTCCAATAGCATACACTGTTGAGATTCTGCCCTTTACAATCCGGTCCAAAGGGATGGCGCTGTTTACAAGTGCCGCTACTTTGGCCAACTCGTTCAACCAATTCGTCAATCCAATTGCGCTCAAAGCCATCTCTTGGCGATAGTGAGTTGTTCAGACCATCTCTAGTTGCTTGCTGCCCATTCACTGACTATTGTATGCTTAGTTATGCGGTGTATATTGCCATTCTAGTCTTCTACTTTTGTTTCATCTTCTTCGTGTTCCCCGAGACTAAACGTCTCTCAGCGGAAGATGCAGCAAGGGTTTTCGACTACAACAGGAAGGGCGCCGCCCTCGATAAGACAGATGATGATGTTGAGCATAGCGCTGTCAGTCCCGCCAACGAGAAGCAAGAATCTGAGTTCGTCAGCGAAGTCAAGGACAGGACTTAAGGCGGTGATGAACAAGGATGTGCTACGGTTAAATAAGGGTACCATATCGTACTCATCCACCATTAAGGACACGGCGACGAACTTCACTTGGTTGAATCTACATTCACAATATACTATTATTTCAAAAAGCACTGTAAAGTACCTGACTATGTGACTGATGATGTTGTCTAAATCAAGGTACTTTATATATATCTCTCATTATTGACACATATCATAGTGTGAAGAGAACAACGAAGAGCAAACAGGAAAGAATAACTATACTATAATCTCATAGTCAGTGGCCACTACAGGTCTAGGAGCTCATGCCTATTCGTTCGAGAAGTAGGCAGATAGGAGGTAGGTACTCTGTATTTCTGCAGCCTCCAGCATGTGTATGGAAGATGTCTTGGTAGTTACATAATCAACCAGTTTTCCCCGCAAATTCGGTTGATTTTAGCGGGAGGTCGTTACTAACAGTAGCCAATGAACTACCGTTATTAGTCCGTAAAGTTTATCCTCTCAGTTGATCAGGTTATTACGAGATTAAAAACCCACTCATGAGTTGACTGTGCAAAGATCTCTCAACTCAACCGCACAGAATCATGACGCCAATTCCACGTGCAGCCTCTGTAGGTTCACCCTCGCGGGGCCACAACAGGCTTGATCGTGTAGATTGTCGCAACTCGACGGCGGCTGTCGACAAGAGGCAGTATCAGAAACAGCGAACGCAGCGCGCCACCTATGCCTGTGAGCGATGTCGCCTCAAAAAGCTTCGATGTACGGGTGGCCACCCTTGCAGCGCCTGTCGCCGAGCTGAGATCGAGTGCGACTTTGGCGATCGGGGAGTGGATTGGCAGCAGAGTATCTCCATTACAAACCAGCGACTCTTGCAACTCGAGAAGACGGTCATGGAGTTGGTGTCCGGTCTGAGCCATCTGACCCATCCACAACAAGCAGCGCTCCCGCAATCGCCTTTCCCACATGCAGGACAAATGGTCTCAGCCACATCAGCTAATTTAGCAGATTCCTTTCACCATGCCACTGCATATGGGCGGGCAATTAATGTGCATGAAGTCAACAGCCCTTCTCCCCAGATGACACGAACTGCGGGGCCTCCAGATTCGTTCCCCGCGCGGACCAACATCGCGGAGCCCACTCAAAACCAAGGGCCAAGTGCGACGCCAGAACGTATATGTACCTCGCCGGGCCACCCTGGAGACTCAGAGGGGCTCGATTCACGCTGGGCTGCCCTGCAGAACAACTCAGCTCCGTTCCCCCCGTTAATGGCCCACCCCACTGTGTGGTCAGGCGAACCAGCAAAAACCATTTCCAGCGGAGATCCGAATGCTCAATTCGCTCTCGGCATGACACACTACGAAGCCAAGGTTGACTTACAGAGCGAACCAGTTTCGGGGGGAATTGTCGATAAGCGGGTGGCAAGAGCGCTCTTCTCCTTGTAAGTCCCTGGGTTGCTCGATTCATCAGGCAACAGCGGACTCACTGAGAAATAACCTAGGTTCTTCCAGAAATGTCACCCATTATTTCCGCTAATTGAGCCATGCAAGGACCTGGACAGACATTTCGATCATATCCGATCATCAGCGCCATTCCTCTTCACCGCAATCCTGGCAATTGCGGGCCGTTACTATACCGCTTATCGGGAGAAGCAATCCGCCAGGTCAAATCTGCCACCCATCCCCGGTAACGCCCTCGCAGCGCTCGCAGACCTGGCCTGTGCGCACCTCGGATTTGTCCTCTTGCGTAAACAACATCAGCTGTCAGACGTGCAGGCTACATTACTACTTTCTGTGTGGGTTCCGCGGGGAAGGGGTCAATCCGCGGACCAGTGGATGTTGACAGGGCTGTGTACTCGCCTGGCGTACCGTATCGGTGTACCCGATTCGTTTGGCTGCCCGGCCATTATCCGCCTCTTGAATTCATCTGATATCGACATCAACGATATCGGTGAGGCGAACAGTGTCTTGCCCCAGTGGCACACTTGGTTGATCATTAACCAGTAAATCTGATGTCTATACCGATATTTGGCCACTGATTAACCTCTGTTCCTAGATATGACATATGGCTCAGCCTTGGATTGGGTCGTCCCCACCCAATGCCAGTTGTCCAACCCTCTCCCCGACAGTATCTCACCGTTGTACGCAAGCTGGGCCCCTCAGCCCAGGTCGATTCGGAAGCTGCGACATACGTTACTAGCCTGACAGAACTTTCCGCCGTAAGCTATCCATTCTTGACTGTTGTTGCATCCACTTAACAAAGAGCTAAACTGTGTTGCTAAGGTGGCGGCGGATTTGGTTTCTGGTCTGCGCACAGCTCGCTTACCCCCGACACCGCGCCAAAATACACGCCAGCCCGCTGCCACAGCATGGTCTAAAATCTCATCACTTCTATCTGACCTAAACCCGCGGTTGGATGAGTGGCAGCGTCAATGGACCTGGGCCGGTGAGCCCTACGGGTACTCTCAGGCATGCATTGGAGCTTACATTCTATCTAGGTTCGTACGATGCCGTCATGCTTGGCAAGTACACCGACCTGGTCAAGATCTACAGTGAACATACGCGCTTATGCTTGAACTCTCTTTCGCTTAACCTCATTGCCGCTAATGCTACAGCGAACTCGGAGAACAATCTAACGATCTCCTGTTTGGAAAAAGCTTGCGAGGCAGCCGTAGCCCTTGTGCAGTACTACGTTAGGTCTTCTGATTCGGAGCCGATCATTCGATTTGGTGGAGATGTGAGATTCTGCTAGCTGCTGTTTGTGTCCTCGCTAATGAAGTGTTCTCATCCATGTATAGTACCTGGTTCTGATCCTTGGCCAAGCTGCAATGTTCCTCGTCCGAGTACTTGTCGCTCGACTCGAGCAGCCCTTGCCAGTAGACCGACGTGTCTTGGTGCATCATCTCAAGACTGCCATCGAGCTCCTGGAGTCTAATGACATGTCCACAACCGGTATTTGTGGCTGGGTGGCCCAACTGAGTCGCGAGCTGGCTCGCTACGCGGGACTTGCGTTTGACTCCGCTTCAGCTGATCCGACAGATGCCAAGTAAGACTTCACTTCTCGCGGCTTGATGCGTTCTGGCCCTTACCTTCTGACGCGGCATATGAACAGCTTCGCAGGGCTAGATTCAAGCCTTCCAGAAATCGAATGGGATTTTGATATCTCCGCCTTACTAGGCCAGAACATCCCGGCCGGAGAGACAGGCCTCGACCTCGGCCATTGCTTCGATTTTGCCCAGTCTTTCTTCCCTCCATCGACGGGTCCGGAGAGCCTATGAAGCGAACTCTGCACCGTATCCTCTGAAGGTTGAAAGGAAGGTACCGTCTTGTACATCGTTGATGGATTGGATGTCAGGACAGACATGTAATACTAATGTTCCATTCGATTCATATTGTATTTGTTTACTCATGACTATACTTTGCAATTGCGTCGACTTCGTAACCCCTAAACATTCTCTCTATGAGAGCAGCTCCCCTTCGATTTAGAAGCCTCGTCTTCCCCGTGGTGTGCATACCCATCGGCAGCGCGCTTCCCCACTTCGCGCAGTGCGAGCTCATTCAGCTTCTCTATCTCATCATCGCGCTTGTCAAATATCATCGAGACTTCTTCGATGGTATGGTGTCTGGTCTCAGGATACATGAAATACGCAAAGACCAGGTAGAACAATAGGATGGCGATATACACCGCGTAACTGCCCAGAGTAAGCTTCCTTCATCATCCTTCATTATCGATAATGGGACATACTTACTATTTCCATTTGAGGGTCTGCAAGGCAATGGGATTCACAAACTGATTGAACGAGTTCGCCATGGTGCCAACAGAAGTGAACAAGGCAAGGCCCTTGGTGCGTAGTCCGAAAGGCAGGATTTCGGCTGTATATGGGACCGGTAGCGGTGTCCAGGCGATGTCGTAAAAGCCATAGTAGCTTGGAATCAAGTCAGCTTTCCTTGGTCCCTTCCACTGCGTTGGATTTGGGCCATGACTCACAGGAAAATGGACGGCACTACGGCAATGCTCATAGCGTGGCTCCCTGTTGTAGCGAAACCAGCGGAGAAGCCCATGATGAGGGCGTATGAAATGAGCATACCGATGATGGAGACGAGGAAAAGTGGACGACGACCGAAACGTTCAACATTCAACGCTGCGCCGAATGCCAGGATGAGGTTCCAGATCGCTAGGCCATTTCATATCAGTATATATGCGCCCGCTAATCGTTTTTTTCAGCCTCGTTCTTACCGAGCCCAGATGTGAGAAGCGTTATTTGGACTGGAGACGTTATCCCGATAGAGTGGAGTACAGGGGTCAGATAGCTGCAGGGCAAAAGGTCAACACAACTGTCATGACAAGTGCCAGCAGACAGACTTACTAGGAGACAATGCCATTGCCCACCCAGTTGGTGCCTACACAAAGGGATAAGAGTACAACAAGACGCCGTCGATTCCCCTCTGTCATGAAGAAGTCTCGATAGGACGCATGATGCCCAACTCGTTCTTTCGTCAGTACCATTTGGATCTCAGCCAATTCCCATTGGACAAGAGGGTCGTCGAGAACACCGTTGGCGTGGTACTTGCTCAATATCGCCGAGGCTTCCGCTATTCGGTCCTTGGACACGAGCCACTGGAGTCCAAATGGATGAGCCATGAAAGTGTCACGCAATATATGGGAGTCGTAACTCACTCTTGGAGATTCCGGGCAGCTTATCAATGTAACAAGGACAAATAAAGGTCCTACGACTTGTACGATCGAAGGCGTCCGCCATGACCAGTCACCTGGGATATAGAGAGCCGCGACTGTGGGAAGAGCTCTAATTCAGCACAGGGTCGTTGATGAGGCAGGGCTACACGAGGTCACCCACAACAAAGCAACGCTGATAGCAGGGCGCCAAAGTAGAAGAAAGGATAGTAGCAGGAAGCCAACATCGGTCGTAATCGAGGGTGGGCAATCTCCTGAATGAGCGCGGGAGCGGCCACCTTGGCGAGACCACCACCTCCGCCAATGATGGCGCGACCTGAACAAGTTCCGAGTTTTAGAACATAATCCCAAAGGCACCAAAGGGGGGGGGGGGGGGGGGAGGGATAGTTACCAGCAACCCACATGCCGGCGCTATTGGCAAAGGTGTTAATGAAACCACCGGCAAGGACAAGGAAAGATCCCAGGGCCAGGGTGACTCTGCGCCCGAAGCGCCGAGATAGGAAATCACCAAGGTAGGCCGTCACAATCGATGGGAGGTACAAAGATGCAGCATAAAGCCCCAAGATTGTGCCTTTCGGATGGTCAAAAAACTCATTCCAGGCGGTAACAGCCTGTAGCCCGTTGAGGAGACCGGCATCATCTAGCATCACTTGAGTAGGTGGGTGACGCAGACCCTATTCGGCAATCTACTCACAGCCCTATGTACATGTCTTAGCTTGTGTAAATAGTTACAGAAAATCGATACGGTACTTACCAGGTAATAAATCACAACACACAGCCCAAGACTTATGAAGCAGCGTCAGCCAGCATTCCCGGCTTGAGTTGTTATCACCAGCTGCACAGGACTTACCAGTGTGCAATGTTCGCCTTGAGAGCAGGGTCCTTGTACCAGTGTTCATTGGTATTGTCTAGTAGAGGGAATCAGTCAGCAGGGCATGGAGCAGCGTGGTGGTGAAGGTCCTCACTGGGTATGTTCTGAAGCGTGTGTGTCTGCTGCATCATAACGGCACCACGAGGGATGGTTACCCCAGCCTGGGCAGTGGTGAGATTGGTATGACTGATGGAAGGTCTCAAAAGTAGACAAGGCTTAAGGAGGGAGAGAAGGGGATGAAGTCCGGGGTAAACTGCCGGGACTTTAAAACGTTCTGGGGGAAATGGGGAGCCATGTAGTTTAATTAATTGCAAAATGAAAAATTGGCCGGAGATTTGCTTGGAGTAAATCACGACTCCAAGTTCCCATTACCAGTTTCCTGGGACCGGGGAAGATCCGAACGAATGTCAACCAATGACCCGCCAGACAGAATCCCCCGCACCGGGGAGCCCCCCCGGCCGCGGTAAATATGAAAGAGTATGCAGGGGCACTTGGCTTGGCGCGCAGCGGCCATGTAGTTAAAAATCCTGGTACTATCGGAGCAGCGCCACAAACCACCTTGGAATACATGTTGCTCAAACGAAGCTCATTCTCTATACTCCTCTGGCCGCTATACTTGGAAATCTCTTCTTGTCTGTGGTACTTTCCTGACTACCATTGCCCCTAGTTTCGAACAAGGAGAGATATCGCAATGGCGAATAAGGGAATGGATAGATCATTCATGACCGCTTCTGTCGAAGATTTGGTCCAAAGTATGTCGCTGACTGAGAAAGTGTCGCTTCTTTCCGGCGAGGATTGGTGGAGGTAAGGGGGATTATGTCCCATCGTCCAAGAGTATCAAGTGCTATTTCAACTAACAAACATCGCAGGACCACGGCGGTGCCCAGACTCAACATCCCTTCGTAAGGTTCTTTCACGACATACATAGCCGGACCGGCTTTACTGAGAAGTATCACTCCAGCATTAAGCTCACTGATGGACCCAACGGCGCCCGAGGTCAATCTTTCTTCAAAATGAGTAAGTGGCGAAATGCTGGAAAGATTGCTGAAGCTAATCTTGCTGTGAGCACCCGCTGTGGTTCTTCCCAATGCTACCGGCCTTGCTGCTACATTCTCTCCCACCCTCCCCGCCGAAGCCGCTCGCCTACTGGCCGCCGAGACCAAAGCGCGAGGTGCTGTCTGTCTATTGGCACCGACCATTAATATCTGCCGAAGCCCTCTCGGAGGGAGGACCTTTGAGTCATTTGGGGAAGATCCGACCCTCAGCGGTATCATGGCCGCCAAGTATGTCAATGCCCTCCAGGATGAAGGGATCGGCGCAGCGATCAAGCACTTCGTCGCCAATGACCAGGAGCATGAACGAATGGGTCAAGACTCCATCATTGCTCCCAGAGCGCTTCGGGAGATTTATCTTCGGCCATTTCACATCGCCCAAGCTTTGGCCAAGCCATGGTCATACATGACCTCGTACAATAAGCTCAACGGCACCCATTGCTCCGAGCATGACTGGCTGTTGAGAGGTCTTCTCCGAACCGAGTGGGGGTTTGACGGACTCGTCATGTCCGACTGGATGGGGACATATTCTGTTGCCGAGGCGATCAACGCCGGGCTTGATTTGGAGATGCCCGGGAAGCCCCGATGGCGCCAACTGCCGCTGGTGCGGCAGTTGATTAATGCTCACAAGATCGCGCCGGCGACAATCGACGAGCGGGTGATAACCATCTTAAAGTGGGTCCAAAAGCTTGTCGTGCTCAACCCTGACACTGTCTATGGGCGCGATGACTCGATAGAATGGACGCGAACGGAAGACCAGGCGACAGACGCGGCGCTGATACGGCGTATCGGCAACGAGGCTATCGTAATGCTGAAGAACGAATCGTCCGTGCTGCCTATTCGACGTGGCAAAGTAGCAGTCATTGGTTCCAACGCTAAGAATGCTGTCATTACAGGCGGCGGCAGTGCGAGGCTTCGACCTGCCTGGTGTGTTACACCATGGCAGGGATTAGTTGACAACAAACCTGACGAAGTGGATTTACGATACACCCTGGGCTGCAAGGGCTCCAAATTTCTTCCCGTTTTTGGTGAGGAGTTTACCAGCATGGATGGTACCACCCGCGGCTTTGATATGCTTCACTACGCTATTGTCGACGGCAAACAGGCCAGCCAACCAGCCGTCTCTGAGGTCTGGACTAACTCAGACATCATGCTCGCTGACTTTAGCCACCCAGGCCTTGGCGATGACTACTTCACCGAGATCCGAGCTTTGTTCACCGCACCAATTACCGGTGACTGGCAATTCGAGATCAGCGTCACTGGTCAAGCTTGGGTCTATGTCGACGACAGACTATTGGCCGATTTATCGAAAGAGCAGAAGCGGACCTCATCATTCTTTGGAAACGGAGGCAATGGTACTGTTATTACGTTCTCGGTGACTAAAGGCAAGGTCTGTAACCAAATCGTTCCCCGTCTAGCATACAAGTCACTCACGTTCAATCAGGTCTACAGATTCCGTCTCTTGCACGACTCCAGAAAACCGCCACTAGCTCCAGGTCAGGACAGCCAGCCATTGCAGCTCATTGGCATGAAGCTTGGCTCCTTCCCCGCTATCAATGAGGACCGAACGATAGATGAGGCCGTAGAGCTCGCCAAAGAGTCTGACATCGCCTTGTTGGTGGTCGGGTTAGACCAGGATTGGGAGTCGGAGAGCTATGACCGACCAAACTTATCTCTCCCTCTCCGTATGAACGACCTCATCCGTCGCGTTGCGACCGAAGCACCAAACACCAAAAAGGTCGTTATCTTGCAGACAGGTTCCGCCGTATCCATGCCATGGCTGGAACATGTCGACGCCGTCTTGTGGCCCTGGTACGGCGGGAACGAGGCTGGAAATGCCATCGCTGATATCGTATACGGAACGGTCAACCCTTCCGGACGATTGCCCATCACCTTGCCGAAACGAGAGCTCGACATTGCTGCAAACCTCAACTTTAAGTCGGCACGAACCAAGACTTACTACGAGGAAGGTATCTGGGTCGGCTACCGTCACTTCAACGCCCGCGGCATCGAACCAATGTACCCCTTCGGTCACGGCCTATCATATAGTACCTTTGATTATTCCAACCTGACCGTTTCGCCGTCCGCATCGTCTTCTCCAGACTCATGGCGCATCTCTGTTTCTGCCAGAGTCACTAATACTGGCACGGTACCTGGCGCTCATTCCGTCCACTTCTACACCAGCCCGCCCGCACCAACAATGACTTCTCTCACGCATCCTGATGTCACTCTGCAAGCATTCGCAAAGACTGCTGTACTTTTACCCGGTCAGTCCGAGACGATCGCCGTGGAGATGGACAAATGTAAGTGGATTGAGATTTGATGGCTTTGTTACTCGCTAATCATTAGAGCAGTCGCTATCTCGCACTGGGATGAACTGACTTCGACCTGGCAAGCCGAGCCCGGGCAATGGCACGTCAAGATAGGAAGGGATGCACAAACCATGTGCGCTGCAGCTCCGTTCAACGTCTCTCCAGGCTTCAGGTGGCACGGAATATAGTTTCGGCGTATCATATTTTACCAAGGCGATATATAAACTATATAAGATGACTTGTAGTGCAAGCAGAGAGTACTGCAAGATGATGATATCTTATCACCGGGTGATATACTGATCAGCGCCGATTGTACTACATCAAACGAGCAGCAAATTTAACACTTAAAGGCATCGAGGTTATTAAATGGATGAGTGTGAAATAGATTTGTATTATTCAGTCTGAGTCACTATAATGTCTGAGGTAGTCAGGACCTCACCCCTTGGATTTTGTCAAAAATCCAGCCGGATTATAGATTCCGAACAAGGCCCAGATACCAACATAGCGACCAACATTACTTCGAGATGCTTTGCACCTTGCAAATCTAGACCTTTATAGAAGCGCGCCGGGTAGAGTGCTTACAGTCCCCCAGAGGTCGGTGAGGGGAGGGGCTATCATCTGGGGTTCAGGTCGGCTTGCACTCAGGATATGCATGGTACCTGGGAAAAGTTTGGACGAGGCTGTAATACGAGGGCACATTTGGCCTATTCGCCGGACAGTCTTGTTGCTTTTGCTAATCTTCTTTCTACTGGTGGGACGCGCTGCGCTTTGCAAGGATCATGAATCACAGCCTGGTCTGGAGGTTAGGGAAAGGTGTCCAACCAGCATAGAGAGACCAAGCCATGCACTCGTCAGGTGGTTCGAAGACTCACTCAACATGGTCCTATTTATGCCCTTGTACCCTTTACTGGGTGTGTACGACAAATTGGCCCCTTCTCTTTTACCCACCACACCTAAATGCATGGTGGCTTTTATAATGTCAACCTCAAGAAATTCCCCAGTCTCCGACGGTAAATGGGAACGCTTCAAGGAGATTATTCGGTCCCTGTGGGAGACACACACCCTCTCAGAGATGATGAAAATCATGGCGGATGACCCCAATTTCCACGCGACGTGGGTTAACATTCCAATCTATGATACTTGACGTGGTTGCTAACAGCAAGTAGCAAAAGTCAATTTGAAAAGCGGTTGAAGCACTGGGGGTTCCGAAGGTATAAAACGTCCGACGACTGGAGAAAAGTCGCTACAAAGGTTGAGAAGCGGCGGCACAACCAGAAAAGCAGTACAGTCGAGTATGAAGGCTTCCCTATTCCGCCTGAGACTCTCCGTAAAGAGATGTCCCGCCATACTACTTTGACTGAATTGGGTCAAGCTACAAATGGTGAGTACTAGATAGTACCCTGACCAGTACGAGAGAACATCAGTTAATGTCCGCAACAGCAATGACCCCGGCAACTCCTGAAGGCTTTGTCATATTTACACCTCGTCCGATGAACGATCAATCAATGACTGTTGAGTCCAACCATAGCTTAGAAGAGGTCGTACAAAAGACAAAACTAACAGCGTGACTTTTCAAGCCTACCTGAAGCATTAGTCTTGAGCGCAACACTGCCCTGCTGCCAGTTCAACACTAGTCTAAGATGGAGAGGACAGCTACTCAGTCCCTGGCAGCGAGGCTTGGCACATAGAAACAATAGTCTCCACTCGTCAGCACACTACGTATCTCAACTATAACTATTCTCCGGGGCTAGGCCTTTATGATAGACTCACAAAAATTCCCCGGAACAAAGCATACTAGCTTGTATAAGCGAAAGGTTTGCTTGGCTACAGCCTACCCATGCGGATATTTATCTACTATCGTGACCTCCTAGGGTTGGTAGGTTAAGTTCTGGGCGAGAAGAGGGTCGTCAGTTGGAAGATCACAGGGCGAGACACTGTCCTTCGGCTGGGAGGAAGAGAGAAGATTGTTTTGGGAAAAGTTCTACCCTTTTTCTCAAGCTTTTCCGCTGATGGGCGACTTTACCCGATCCAATGGTTTTCGTTACCTTACACTAGTGGGGTTCGTCGGAGCATTCCGTTCTCTTTGCTCAACGGGCTGGAGGGATCCACACACTAGACTTGGAGCCTTCATTCGATTGCTACTAGCACATGCAGTTGGACACATTCCGAGGATACAGCTGAGAGACTGGACCCTTATGTCCCAGTATGTCGCATTGTCAACAGCCCAGACATGTGCAGGGGACAAATACTGCCTGACTCCTCCCAATTTTTTTGCACGACTGATTGCAGACTTGCAGTTTCCCGCCTATGACACCCTGCAAGTCCCCACAGAGTTACACACTCTGAAATAGCCTGATAATCTCCTCTGTGCCCACTTTTTATATTATCTCTCTCAGGCACTGACTATCCTACACCCACTTTGCCACCTCGCTGCGGAGGTGTACACGCTAGAAGAGGGCGCTAAAAAGCACTTACTTCTTTTCTATCCGCGTCCATTCCTCATCTTCCACCAACGCCCCTGGGCAACCTTCCAAAATAATCTGTCGCTCCCTCTTAACGTTGCATTTCTCGACTTCCAAAACGTCAAGAGGCATACCATCAGCTGACCCGTCCCACTGAAAAAATTCCATCGCCCAGCACAGCGCTGCATGGCCGCGTTCCACTTTTTCCCCTGTCTCCCTTTTGAGCTTCGGGCTCGAATCTGGCAGCTGACGGTGGAGCCGCGTACTGTCGAGGTCCGCGTTAAGAAAGATGATGGATTAAGGGGCAAGATTCTGCATGTAACCTCATCAACACCAGTGCCTGCGGTCCTTCAGGTCTGCCATGAAGCCCGAAACCAGGGGCTGTACCAACAGGCCTTCAAGTTCCCCTCTGGGGTTGAGCCGCGGTATGTCTGGGTGAACTTCGAGATTGACATGATCTCAATTGCAGACACCTATTTCGATACAATTGAACCGGCTGAACAACAGCTGATTCGCCGGCTTACTATTCAGCGCGAGAATACAGACTCCTTTTCCCGCTCTGAGTCCCTGGAGCTACAAATGTATTCTAATCTGGAGGAAATGCATGTCATCTGTGAGGATGGCCTGCTGGCGTGGCAGGATGCATGGGAGTATGTTTACTGGCCATGCCCAACAGAGAATCTAAGGTTCATTGACAAGGAGACGGGGCAGATTGCGGTTGGCGAGGACCTGGATAGAATGGCGGACGAATGGATGGCAACTTGGTGATCCTGAATGATTATTTAAGCCCCTGTCTTATAGCTGTAGAACTTGCTGTATTCCGTGGCTCAATATTTAAGAGAAGGTGTCTCAAGATACTTATATCTCAGAAGTCGCTACACATCAGCTTTCCCACAGTTAATTTTCCTCATTAGATTATGTAACCTCAATACATAGCGTTGTCTCCCTTTCGTATTCCGTATACTTTATCATTGGGTTCAACAGGATCAGTGTTCGGTCCCCACTACATTCGGCACGACTGCATCAGGTCTCCGACCCGTTTATACGTCTTAAAGAGCGCATAGTGTTCACTGGCTGATTTATCGGTCGTATACCAGTGAGTGCGAACGTCTTTGATGAGCTTGTCAACATTACTGATGCCTTTGGCCTTGGCCGCATCAGCAGTGGCCTTCCGGTCAACGGTCTCCCATTGCGTCGTGGGATTCGAAATGGGGTTGGCCCCCAAATTCATCAACTTGATCTCCATCTCGTTGGGAATCCCCAGCTTGGCTTTGACCTCTTCGATGAGAAATGGACCGTGATCCCCGGCCCGCGCAATGTTGATTTTCTCTAGAGTGGCATCGAAGTCATCCCACATGTGCTTGTTTGCGTCGGTCTTGTGGAGCCATGCATCTTTGACCAAATTGCCGAGTTTCAAAGTGTAGGCGTTGAAATCGCCGCTTGCGCCCCTTCATGGCCTTGTAGGGCGGGAAGTTGGTCACTTTCTTGTTGGGAGGGGTCGTGTACTTCGTGTAGAGCGTCTTAGCAGTCTCTTGAATATTAGGCCTTGCCGTGTTTTGATCTGCCCCGGGAGGGCCGACCAGGCTGTCGTTGGGACGTGTTTTGCCCAGGGAGGCCATGAGTTCATTGAAGTTGCATCTGCCGCCGTCCCTGCTTCTGCACGCTACCCACTCATTGTTCACACAACTTCCGGTTTTGTCGTCCCATTTTTTGCATTTGAAGCCTAGGGTTTGGGCCTCGGGGTCGTTGAGCCCGTCGATTTGGTAGGCGTAAAAGAACAACACGCGCTCAAGACATCCCTGATATCCAGCGGCCCAAACACTCGCGGCGATGTACGCAAGCGCGAGGAAGAATGAAGACTTCATACCGAGCAAACAGGAACACAGATTAACACAGACAAGAGAGAGCGGTATATACCGAGCAAAGCTGAGCAAAGATAAGTGGGAAGAACCGAGGATAAATGGATATGCCTTCTTGTTTCCTTCTTCCTTCTTACCCCCCCTCCCCGGGTTCCCCTTTCTTCCCAGCTATCATTTTTATTTTTGTCTATGTAAACTTAATTTTATTTTTTGCAACGCAGACCTCTACGCCGGACCTGAGTGTTGTGGGGGGGTTCCGCAAGTCGCCTTCTGTGCCTGAACGGCCGAGAGCTATAGTTCACATCTAGTTGGCGCTAGAAAACAATTCCCTCGCAGGGGTTAAGGAGTGGATCTCAGGGTTGACATCAAGGAGATTTTAATGTTACATCCAGGCACACCCTAGGCTCACTCCTGATGCATGATAAAATCATTCAAAGTATCGATTTAATCGTCAGCTTCATCCCCCCATTATTGTCAACGGCTTCTCATCTCTTCCGAGGGCCTTTCTTTGCGCAGCCCTCCTTCACTATGAAGCCATCACTGTTCTTCTTCACTACCTTGGTGGCAGGGGCCTTTTCTGCCCATTCTGGCTCCCATATTCACCTCCACGTGTCCCACCGAGCACGCACATCAGAAGCACTAGACGCTAGAGATGCCCAAGGTCTTGGCGAATGGCTTGCAGCCAACAAGCGGGCGCCACCCAGCGCGCTCAAGGCATGCCCTCTATCCTGTCATGAAACTGGTAATAGCAGTTCAGGGGCCGGATGGTTCTTGTTTCCCGATGCGTCAAGGCTCGCTGCGTGCAACGAGACCATGCTGCTCGACTTTGTCGTCCAAAATGAAGTTGATGGTGCCAGTAGTCATGGGCCCAAAATGGGCATCAGTACATGCACAGCCGACTATAGCTCGGCCACGCAGGCGGCCTACGAGCCACATGATGAAAAGGCAGCTCTCTGCCCAATCCCTAATCATGCCCTCGTCGAAGCATCCATCAGAATGTCCCATTCTACCGCTAGGAATGATGATGGCTTTGCCGTTCAGGATGTGTTATCTGCTGGCCACCAGATTGTGAATTATTTCAGATCACAAAAGCGTTCCTGCGTGGAGAACGCCTTGGCTTTTGGATACTCTCAATCCGCCGTCGTGGGAGTGATTGCCGGTGCGGAGGTCCACCAGCATGGCGTGACCACGAACGTTCTCAACAAGTTGCTCGCTATGTCGAGAAAAACTCGGTCTCCGAAACGACTATCGTCCAGCTGTGTCAAGCCGATGGCCGCGGCGCAGACTACGGCATCGGTATCATTGTGAGCAGCGCAAAGCATCTGCCCGTCGTCCAGGACGCCGTCAAGACCTGGGTAAAAGGACGATGCGTCTCTGCGGCGGATGGTGATGAGGACTGGACGACTGTAACCCTGCGCGTCCCTACCCGTGTCAAGTCAAACTCAGATGCCATTGGGAATATGACGTTACCAACCGCGGCTGCCCACTTGGGGTCAAGATCCCGGTTTGCTGCCCGGGCAGAGTGCCAGACAACCACGGTCAATCCTGGCGATGGCTGCTGGGCTCTGGCCGACCGGTGCAAGATCACCGACGCCAAGTTGAAAGAGTACAATCCCCGTCCAAACTTTTGCAACACTCTTGTTGCCGGCGAGAAGGTCTGCTGCTCTTCCGGCACCTTGCCTGACACTGTCCCTCCTAGAAACCCAGACGGCACATGCAAGACAAGGCAGGTGGTAGGCGGCGACATCTGCGGCTCCCTGGCGTCCAAATGCGGTCTAAGTCTGCAAGACTTTTACAAGGTGAACACTGAAGCCAATCTGTGCCTGAACCTGAAAGCTGGACAGCATGTATGCTGCACGCGTGGCAAGCTGCCCGATTTCAGGCCCAAGCCCAATCCCGACGGATCTTACTCCACGTACATGACCAAGGCAGGCGACGACTGTTACGGCATTGCCGCAGCTAATGGCATAACTGTTACAGATCTCGAAGAGTTTAACAAGAATACATGGGGCTGGAGCGGCTGCAAAATTCTCCCACTCAACTTCAAGTTGTGTGTGAGCTCAGGATCACCGCCTATGCCTGCCCCTGTTCCAGTAAGTATATATATATATATTCATTTCAAACCCGATACAAGAGACCTTTGAAGAATATACGCTGATGTTGCTCTTTAGAACGCTATCTGTGGGCCGACTGTAAGGATTTCCAGACTGCTGCACCAAGCCTGAAATTGTTCGGACTAATATGATCTCAAAGGTTCCCGGCACCAATGAGCCAGCCAAAGGCGCCGAACTGTCCACACTCAACCCGTGCCCCCTAAAGGTTTGCTGCAACGTGTGGGGTCAATGCGGCACGACAGATGATTTTTGTACAGTGTCCAAGCCAGAGACTGGCGCTCCTGGCACTTCTGCGCCCGGCAAAAATGGCTGTAAGTGCTTCGGTCCAGCAGCACAGCATCTACTGGTACTCCGGAGAAACACAGCTGACTCTGAAATTTAGGCGTCAGTAACTGTGGCAGAGACATTGTCAACAGCGGGCCTCCCGACCGGACGATCCATGTAGCATACTTTGAAGCCTGGAACCATAGGGCAAGTGCTTGACCATGGATGTCGGCCAGATCGACACGGATAAATATACGCATATCCACTTCGCTTTCGCCGATGTGACAAAGGACTTCAACGTCGATATAAGCGCGGTTAAGGAGCAGTTTAACCTCTTCAAAGATATGTCCGGGGTCAGGAAGATTATTTCTTTCGGCGGCTGGGACTTTAGTACTATGCCTGGCACTTTCAATATCCTTCGTGAAGCTGTCAAGCCTGCCAACCGGGATATCTTCCAGAAGAATCTCGTTGCCTTTGTCAATGAGCACAACCTCGACGGTATCGACCTCGACTGGGAGTATCCTGGAGTAAGTAGCACACGTTCACTCATTTTACTTTTACACTACGGACTTGGTTAATGTAATAAATCTAGGCTCCTGACATTCCCGACATCCCCCCGGGTAACCCGGAGGCGGGTAGGGACTATTACTACTTGCTCTCCAACGTCAAAAAGGCATTGGGCGGTACCAAATCTGTCTCCTTTGCAGCCCCGGCTTCCTATCATTATCTGAAATCTTCCCCTATGAAGGCAATGGGCATCCATCTCGACTACATCGTCTACATGACCTACGATCTCCACGGCCAGTGGGACTACGGCAACAAGTGGACTTCGTCCGGCTGTCCCAGCGGCAACTGTTTAAGGTCCCATGTCAACGACACAAAGACCAAAGATGCCCTGTCGATGATCACCAAGGCTGGCGTGCCCTCTAGAAGGTGGTTGTCGGTGTGACCAGCTACGGCCGGTCGTTCAAGATGGCCGAGGCCGGTTGCACTGGGCCAATGTGCAAATTCACCGGTACCTCGCGCATATCCAACCCCGCAAAAGGACGCTGCACAGACACGGGCGGCTACATCTCCAACGTGGAGATTGCTGAGATCATCAGCAGCGGCAAAGTCACCAAGCAGTGGACCGACGTCGGCTCCAACTTCCTGGTCTACAGCGACACCGAGTGGGTGGCATATATGGACGATGACATGAAGGCTGCTCGAGCGAAGTTCTATGATTTGTACAACTTTGCCGGAACCACCGACTGGGCCGTTGACCTGCAGGCATTTAGAGAGTAAGCGCCCTGAGCTGAGCGTCATGGACCTCGCACGCCTTCTACAATGATATGTTCAAGGTACTAACTCTCCGCAGTGGCAGCGGTGGTGATGACTACCCTGATGATTACGAGCCGTACATCGACACCAGCATGTACCCAGAGTGTGTAACCAAGTACACTACCTTCAAGGAGCTCAACGACCACAAGGATTCGATTCCTGCTCACTGCATGGAGCAATACATTTTCAATGTCGAGGTCGCCGTCATGGAAGCAGCCTTGGAAAAGTACAAGGACCTGGTCAACAATGGCTACGACGAAAAGTATAAAATCTACGAAGGCTACGTCGACGAGCGAGTCCAGGACCAAATCGAGGACCAAATCGACGCATTCATGGGCAGCGGCAAGGCGGACAAGTACTTCAAGTGCACGGAGACCAAGGACGTTATGTGCTGCTCCAAATGTAACATTCCCCATTGTACGGTGGATTGCGACAAGTCCAAGGATTGTAATGGCAGGGCCACAGTCGATATCAAATGTCCGACAACTCTCAAGAGCGGTTCCAGCACCGTCATCGCGGTAGGCGATCATTTTCCCAACGCCACATACACGCTGCAAGACTCCGAGGGCTTCTGGAAGGACATTGGTGCCGAGTACGGCATCGAGGAGTCGTGGGTCAAGTTTGGCAGGAGGCACATCAGGGCCGGCAATGGCTGTCAGTACGCTGGCGAGGACGTAAATGACTGTATCGACAAGCAGATTAGTGGGTTTTACAACTATCCCATGAAAGACACGGTCAAGGTCTACAACCCCAAGGACCTTATTGGCGACTCGTACGACAAGACCGAGGACCTCCTCAACCGTCTCAAGATCGTCAGGGACAATGCCGATTACGACGAGCTCATGCAGTGGTCCGACCTGGTCGACGCCGGATCTCTACCCGCGTTGACGATACGGACTGCCGTCGAGAGTATGGACAAGATTGTCAAGTCTGCCAAGAAAATCAGAAAGAAGGAGCGCGAGGAGTTCATCGTCAATTTCCTCACAGGCTTGCTCTTCTTCATTCCCTTCGTGGGGGAGGCCGCCGGCGCCACTGGTCTGACGGCAGTTCGCTCCATGCTGCGCCTGGCAGGCGCCGCTGATGAGACGGGTCGGCTGGTGCATGACATTATCGAGCACCCTGAAAATGCCTTTATGAGTGTCTTTAGCTACTTGGCCGGGGCCGGAGCTGGGCGAACCGGGTTTAAGAACGCTGCCAATGTGAGACGATCCATGAAGGCCAGCGACATTGACAATCTGGGGTCGATGAAGGTAGATTTGGACCTGATTCAGACTGTGCGTGGCGTCACTTGTCATATCTAAGGTTGAATCTTGTCCATCGACCCGCCCACCCACGCCCACTATACGGGAAGAACGAGAAAAAGTAAACCTTCCATCAGCACTCACCTGGCCAGTAATACAAATGTAGTCTAATGAGGACACCCCGGAAGATGGCAAACATGTAGACTTCGTTTACAACAGTTTCTCAGAGAAGGCGTAAAGCTGCCTGACGGGGTCAGGGGCGTCTTTGCCCAGTTTTTGGACGACTACCTCGATCCCCAAAATGCTGACTTCACTAGCTGGGTATAGTGGGACTATCTGGAGGAGGCGGTTGCAAAGGACCAAATCAGGCACTCCTGACCAGGATCAGGTGTGGGTTGAGCAACACGCAGGAAGCTTGGGATCTCCTCAGACAGGGGAAGACTAGCGGCGAGAGATTGATCATTCACCCAACTTCTGACTAGACACAGTTTATCTTATGAAGACTATCGAATTATACATCTATATAGAGGAATTTCTGCTGTCGACAACACGCTACTTATACGTCATGAGTCTGGCCGTGTTACTTTCTTGGATCAGGAGCGTGGGAAGGGGAAAAATGGTCATTGAATGTGCGAGTGTAGTACGCAAGGATGATGCTCTAGTGAATTTTATCCGAAAGGATCCATCAAAAGACCCCGCCTCGGGGTCACACAGCTCTATAGGGACACCTCTTCGATGCTTCACAATGAAGTCACCAGCTTGTCTCAAAGTATCTGTCTTGAATACCTCTGCCACCCAAGCATCTGCCATCGGGTTGCTCTGGTCCCATGCAAAACCACCAAAGCACATCCTAGTTGGAATAGTATAGGGGGAGACGGCCAGAAAGCCCAATTCTACAAAGAAAAGAGAAAGGAGACGCGGCCCTGAGGAATGGGATGGGAAATCACGAAGGCTAAATGAGCTGAAGAACTCACCTGGCCCAAACCTCACCGCAAAAGCAGCCAGCCTGGATGGCTGTGTATGTCAGATACGCCACGGGTTCTTGGCTACAGCTCATAGCAATATGCCAACATCCGTACCGCAGTGACAGTCCATGAAGCTTCGGTAGTCAGAAGAACTTGCACTTCTTCTTATTCTTGAGATTAATCCTCGATGGAACCATAAACGTAATAAGTACAGATGATGAGTGTACATATATGTGTTCCCTTTCCCTGTTCCCCATATTCACTGGTGCCAGAAAAAGGATACCTACTGACTCCTGATCAGATGCATCCGGTTTGTCTTCTAAGGCTGACTGTAAAAGTAAAGGCGGATTAAGCAAGAACAAAACTCATTCATAACATATCTGCATAGTCGATAGTGACATGTTGGTATTCGAGAGAGATACCATAGTAATATAAATCTCTCTCAGAGACCAGTGAGTATAAAACAGTACAATGTGCAATCTTCCAGTCAGGTGGTGCTGTATCCTCAAGCTGGTAGGGTTCTTTGTATCTTTGTCTGCAAGAGTAAACTGCTCTGGATGTGCATTATAAAACATAATGAATAGGACCGTGCCGTGGTGAGATTTACAACTACACATGCTTCTTGCGGTCGATGGTATAGTCTGACCTGGAGTGTTGGCCAGAGATATTACAATATCGAACATGCGACACAAGCTACGTAACCTTTGCTACAAAGGGATGATAATTCTTTAAATAGTACGTCTCTAGTCTCCTTGAATAACCAGACGCTTTCTAAAAAGGAATTGGACAAGGTAGATCAATCAATTCTCCATTCTCTGCCGAAGCATATACTGACATTCAAAAATGCATTTAGTGGCAATTCCCATTGGAACTACAACCGTTAATGACGCGCGGCGCTCGAGAAGTATCCAATCGGCAAAAGCACGAGGAATTGATGGGAATGTCTGCTACAGCGAGCGCCAGCTTTACTGCAGGCTCGATGACAGCCGCTTCCTCCGTCCTTCCCAACCGCATCAAGCATTCATGATACCCCTGGAGCGACCAAACATTGTTCGGGTGGCGGCGGGGACGAATCAGCGTGCTATCGAGTCCCAGGTCAGCGCGGTACACTTTGGCCGCTTCCTCGAGATGGCCCTGCTCCAGGAGAAGGGCCGCGTAGGCATGTCGACTGGGTTGCATCCACGACCATGGTTCACTATACGGGAGCTTGTCATCCAGTTCGATGGACTTGCGCAGATGCTCAAAGGCCTTGTCGTAGTTTTGACGGCGATACTCGATTTCTCCATCCAGCATGGCCGCGGCCACGGCCAAGGTCTGCGTACACTTGCCATTATAGGCGCGGCGGGTCCCTGGAACAAGTGCACAAGTCTGCTGAAAGAGCTCCCGCTGCTCTAGGGCTCCATCTATATCCCCAGTAGCCGCATAGGCAACTGCCTTGGCGTAATGTGTAGTTGCCGTCGTGACTCTGTATAGTTCGGGGTCTTTTGGCAATTCCATTTGTTTCAGCGCCTCCCACATTCCAAAGCGCACCATGACATGTAAGCGAATGGACATGAAGTTCTCCAACCAATCAGCCATGGGCGGGGACTTAATTCGTAGCACATCTTCAGGGACTGAAGCCTCCATCCGATCGACCGCATCCAGGGCCGTATTCAATTTTCCGCAAAGCATAGCGGCGTAGATGAGGGAATGGTAGTCGTGAAGTCGATAGAACGTGTAGAAGTTGTATGGACCTGCGCGGCGCACATACTTGTCATCTGCTAGAGTAGCCTTGTAATTGGACGCAATCGAGCGTCGCCAATCCCCGATCAGAATGTCGAGATGAGTTGGCATGTGATGGATGTGGCCTGCATCAGGCATCAAGTCACGCAGCTGGTCGGCGACATTGATACCTAACTCAGGATTCGGCGACATTTCAATGTAGTGGATGTAGAGGTGCAGCAGCCCCGGGTGCTTCTCAGACCCTTTTTGAGCCAGAGCGCGTTCCAGTACCTCCTTGACCTCCATTGTGGCTGCTTTGGGATTGGGTTCGCCAGTAAACAGATCCCAGAGCGCCCAAGGAGTCAGATTCATCAGCGCGTCCGCGTAGAGAACTGCGGCATCCAGATCATTGCCAAAGTCTCGATAAACAGGCTTCATGGCCGTCGCATACGCATGGTTCAGTGCCGACCGCTCCGCAGTATTGGGTGGCGAGGCGCTCTGGAATCGGGACTGGATGGCTTCGATCAACCCTTGCTCAAGTGGAGTCGCATGATTTGCATGTTCTTTGGCGTTGCGCGACGCCTCATAGGCCCGTTTCATGCAGGTTTTCAAGTCTTCCCTATCAAAACGGTCCCATGGCTTGTTGTAGTTGGGACCAACTGCGTACGCCAGCCCCCAGTAAGCTATGGCGCACGACGGATCGTGAGCGATGGCTTGTTCAAAGCAGTAGGCGCCCTCGACATGATTGAAGGCGTAAACCCAACTGAGGCCCCGATTGAACCAGGTCTGAGTGTCGGAGTTGGAGGTGGTGATCCTCCGACCGAACGAGCCGAGATCATAGTATTCGTCACTAGCCGGCACGGGGGGGGTGACGTCTGAATCATGAGTCATGATTGGGAGAGGCTACACCAAGTGTAAGAACTCAGCGAGGAAGAAGGAGAGGTGATAGTGTGAGCGAAGTCCTCTTCGTGACAGACTGGGCTGGATATACATGTAGAAGTGGGGTCACGAGGCAACATATGACACCGAGACATCGGCCTTTGATTGTAGGCTTCTGTCCATTCATCCGTTGATACTCATCCACAGTGATAGCGTCGAATATATAGTACCGGTGGGTCAACTAGCCTGACCTCTGTCGTCTGATATCGATCACTGTCCAGTATCCACTTCTTTCAGCCTTTGTGGTGATCTTTCTTTTTCCATGAGTCGTTCAGATACTTGCCAGTGCCTAAGGCCATCGACGCCGACCGTAGCGGGGTGATGACTAATACATCATCAGTCACTCTCGTGAGACATAACTATGAGATCCAGAATCAATTGATAAAATTTGTCCTTTCGAGGTATAATCTTAGACTTCAGATGGTTTCGAGGGATGAAGAAGCCCAATTTCTCACAAAGAAACCACTGATTGCAGAACATTAGTATGTCGTCTACCCCAAGATCAGCTCAGCCACATGTGAAGTTGGCATGTCTCACATGGTGGGTACTATATCCTATCCTAATCCTCAGGCTTTGCATAAATTTGGAATGGGCACTTGCTGGTTGCTTGTCACTGCATAATCTCTTTCCTGAGTATACAAAGAGTTAAATGTCAGGCCGGCTGCTGACGTCCGATAGCCGCGCATCCACGACTCGGTGTGATGGACAAAGCCCTTGTGGGAATGTGAGCTTCAACCTGCCTCATGCCCTCCTATCGTTTCCTATCCCTTGCTGATTGATCCCTTCCCAGTATCTTAACAGTCGACGGGAATGTCATTACCGCCCCAGTCGGCGCGGTGGAGCTTGAAGAGGGTTCAAAGCAGCTGAAACTGTCGCGCGCAAACAAGCCTCCATCGATCCCCATACGTACAGCATCGATAATGGAGCCTATCTGTCTCTCCTTTCCTCCGAGACCACTGATATCAACAGTAAGCGAAGATTTGTTTCCTGAACCTATCATCAATTCTCCGAGCTTACCGTTCTTCGTAGGCCCAGTTCTACAAAACATCATTGGAATTTGGTGGTTTACAAGACCCCGATGTCATCATCAATCATGCAGCCGCCATGGGCACCGCTCTATCTCCCGTTGGAACACCTACGGTGACACTGAGAGCATACCGTTGTGACCAGGATTTGTAAGTTCAGGGGGGTTCTCTTCCACGTCAACTCATGCCCATCTTACATGATGAGCGACTGATAATGCCCTAGAGTCAACGCTTACTACATCTTCATCCATCCATATTTTCCCTTCCTTCCCCCGCCCATTGTGCCTCAGTATGAAGATCGACCTGTGCCCATTACTGTACCAGACGCCGAACCCAGCCGCTCCTGCTTGCCATCAATGTCGAGTAGTCCCTTGGGTCTAGCCATTGCAGCAATATTAATCTTGGTCCCCATGCCTGAGGATGCTAATCCGATGAGCGAAACTGCTCGCAAGCTGAGGCGCTCGTACGCTGAGCTGTACGCACGGGCAGCTTTGGCAGGTGTTGAGATTTTTCTTGAAGAGTACGAGCACATGGGCACGGCTTTCTCTAGTGATATGGATTTGTCGCGAGCTCTACAAAGTCCGTTGCAGTTAGGCCTCCCTCTTCCTGTTGAGTCTGTTCTAGCGCTGACGCTACTTGCTATCTATGAGTACGTCCAGCGGAGTAACGTCGCGAAGATGCGGCCCCGAGCTACCAAGCACTTACAACGGCCATGCACCTATCCCTGCACACAGCTAGCTCCGTCAGCTCGGACTACTCGGACGCGGGTCGTCGGACGTGGTGGATGGCGGTCAGTTTACTTCCTCTCTGAATCAAATTCTGCTGATCTTAATTGCTTGCTCGCTCGCAACAGATGTTTCTGGTTTGTCAGTCGTCCATTCTAACAGCTTCGGTAGGAGGCAATCCGTCACTGCTGATTGAGCCGGCAGTCCTGGATTTGGCGCTCATACGGATATCTGGATATGTAGCCACCTATCATTACCATTAACTATCCTCGGATCCCCACACCCTTTCCGGAATTTCGTGGCTGCCGTGAAGTTCGTATTTCCTCAGTATTTCCTCCAGCCTTTATCTCTTCCACGAAGCTAACTCGTTATTTGTTGTCCAGCCGTGGCCCTTGCTGGTAAAAGCTCAGAAGGCACTGATCGGCAGCTGCTACATATCCCGACAGCTGACGTGAGAGAGGGTCGAAAGCCGGCTCCGATCGCTCAGGGATCAAATCCAGCAACTCGACACATTCATTTCTGAAGTGGCGGCGGAGGCAGATCGATTCCGATGCGTGACGAATATTCCGGGGCTGAAGCAGATGCCTCTTGAAATCTGTGGGCCATGTCCCGCGCTTTTAATCCACATGTAAGTCATCATGTTCGCGCTGATTCACTCATCCTACTGACTTACATGGATGAGTTTTGCATAAGATATAGTTCTTATCTTAAGTTACATCAATTTCGCGCTTTTTGGACCACCCCATCATTCTAGTGGATCACTGTGATCTCCCCTCAATCAATACCACTGAGTTCTTAAGACCGCCCCATCATCTCTTCGCCAGCCGGGTGGCTAACATTGAATGCATCTTCCCCTTCACAGAGCAGAAATACACCTTAATCTGCCTCAAATCTGCTCTTGTGATCTCAAGAGTCTTTAGGTAACTCTCTTCGCCAAACCCAGACCTTGGTCTAGAAGCTGATGGGAAAGCATCCGGCAGATCAAGGTCACCGCGCGGATTACCATATATAGCATGCTGTACACTACAGAGCATCTATGTAATTTCCATGCTTTTGTCCAAGGTCCGCACGGCATTATGTTCAGGCGATCTCTTCAAGCTGCTGTGGCTCATGAGATGGAGGGTACTTTGAGTGCTATCACTAACTGACCTCACCGGCGGAATATATGTAAAGGCATAAGATGAAAGTCGACACCAACATACATGGTCTCAAAGATTTAAGAGCACTATTGTATAGGGGCTAGCTGAATAGGTACACAAAGGAGTTGTACTAACATAAATAAATTTAATAATAAGCGGCTATTGTAATGAATTGTATCAGGCTGCCTCTATATAGTCTTACTATGACCACTAATAGGAAGACCAAAGTTGGACTTCACCACATTGGATAGTCAAGATATGTATGCATTTCCATTACGACCACGGTTCTCATGATCGACTCTTATCAGGCATCCCTAGTCATAACCTAAGACCGGAAAGTTCATACCCCGGAAAAACAGGCCCCGGCCCCGCCCCACTGCAAAGGCCGTATTCTCGGCGACCGGCATTGATTATGTTCGTTCGGCCTTTGATCCCGGTCCTACCCTAGTGAGTTGCTCAGTCCAGAGGCCGAGCTACCCTTGACGCCGACAGTTTTAGGACATTCTACCTGGTATAATCTAGGCCTAGAGTGGGTCCCAAGATAACTTATTGCCACTGAATTAAACCGACGAATTATGCACGTCTCGTGTAAAAAGCATTATAAACAGCCTTTGAATGCTCTGGAATTGCAGGTGTTTTCCGTATTTCGTTCTCACATGCAACGGTATAGAAAGACCCCGTTCTGAGCCCTACCAATGGCCATCATGACACACATCCAGCAAATCAAACAATATCTCCCATGGGCACAGACCCCGCTGATTATCAATGCCCCCATGAGCGGCGCAGCGACCAGCAAGCTAGCCGTTGCCGTCACCCGAGCTGGAGGACTGGGACACATTGGCTTTCTGGACGACAAGAAAATGCTAAACACGGAGCTCGAAAAGGCGAAAAGGCAATTAAGTGATATGGCCGTCACCAACGGGACGCTACCGATCGGGGTGGGAGTAATTGTGTTTGGATCCCCTGTCTCACAGTGGCTTTCCCTATTTGCTGCGTACAAGCCCGCTGTCGTTTGGCTGTCCTTCGGAACGTCGAGAGAGTTTCAAGGGTGGACGGAAGGAATTCGCGGAGTCTCCCCAGATACAAAGATCTGGATACAGGTCGGAAGCGTTGCCGCTGCGCTCGATACGGCCAGAGTCTGTCAACCCGATGCTCTGGTTCTACAGGGAAACGATGCGGGCGGACACGGCCACGCAAGTGGGGCGAGTATTATATCGCTCCTTCCAGAGGTATCTGATGTGCTTTGTAAGCATAGGATGAGCCGGATTCCATTGATTGCGGCCGGAGGTATCGTCGAGGGACGCGGTGTGGCGGCAGCTATCATGCTTGGGGCGGCGGGAGTGGTGATGGGCACGCGATTTCTGGCTGCGGAGGAGACGAACCTGCCTCCTGAGTACCGAGAGGCAATCATAAATGCCGTCGACGGGGGAGTGTCAACCGTGCGGTCGAGAGTCTTCGACGAGACTTGGGGTCCAAGTCCGTGGCCAGTGTTGTATGACGGGCGGTGTTTGAGGAACGCAAGCTATGATGATGTGGCTGCAGGAATCCCCATGCAAGAAGTCGTGAGGCGGTTTCACTTGCGTTTGAGGAAAGGACAGGAGGAGCTTGATATCAAGGATTCAGGAAGTGTGTGGGCTGGCACAGGCGTGGGATTGGTGAAGAAGGTTGAGGACGCCGCATCTATTGTCAACCAGGTACGACTGGAGGCAGCTAGGAGGCTGGAGAAAGGCACTTCCCTCGATACACATGTTTGAAAAGCATGAAACAGGTTCACACCATGCTCATCTGCTAGGTTGTAAGGAATACACCGCCGTTGCACTAGATGCATGCCGTTTCTGGCGTTGGAGTCGTATTTGGTCAGCTTACTATCAGTATTTCAGGCTACTCCGCACATACTGTTACCAGCTCTCCAAAGTATATTTCAAACTCCGAAGCTATCAGGCATGTTAATCCTTCGACCATTAATACAAAGAATCCCAAAGACGCGACTCGACAGTGACCACACTGATAACGAAGATAGTCTCAAGCAACTGTTTGTCAGGCTCAACGACGACAACGATGGGGATTCACCCTTATCTCATTTGTCTGAGTCTTTTAATCCTCGTTTCAAATGCGGCAGCACTGGCCTAACCCTTCAATGTTTGATAATATTCTAGAATGTACAATGCCCTCTGCCTTGATGGCCGGAGAGGGAGACTTGGAGTTGGTCTTCGACACGTTTCTGAATCCAGTCAACCAAGTGACCGCGAGGTTAGTCGTTTCCGTCCTTCCTCGGAGCTCGCAATTATGGTAATTGTTCATAGCCAGTCATCGGGCAAAGCCAAAGGAAAGAAACTTAACCGAAAACTTTAGATAAAATCACTATCAAGATAAGCACTAATCCCGAAAATGCAGGGAAATAGACAAAGGATTGAAACCTAATTGCATGGAAGTGACTGCTTGAGAGCGATGGCTGTATGTTTTCCTTCAACTATATTGGTACACTTGGTAGCTGGAACCTGGAGAAGTCTACTTATATAGAGCCATTCGCCAGTTCGAACCCGTACATAACTTCTACCCAAAGGTCTATTCAACAAAGCCTTCAGATATCAGTGTATAGCTCCGCGCGTCTTGCCAAATCGCGCTGTCAATATGGCAATAGACCAGCTCAAGTGTTCCCCCAAGGCAATCTGCCTCAGATGCCCATTCATGAGGGAACATTTATCCATCTTGTTGTCACCAACGACAATCCAACCGCTGCCAAAGAGAAAGCCGTGGAGATCAATCATGGAGCAGATACCCAGCTTCATCGGTCTCTGGGGATTCGCTATCTCACTATGATAGCTTTCGGGTCGGCCATCGGAATGGGAATGTGGTTGGGAAGTGGACAGGCCCTGATCCGAGGAGGGCCTGCGGCGTTGTTTATTGGTTACGTGATCAGCAGTTCAATGATCTGGGCTGTAAGTCAATCTATAGGAGAGATGGCTGTCATTTACCCTCTTCCATCAGCGTCTGTACAATGGTCCACCATGTTTGTTAGCCCTGCTGTCGGGTTTGCCTTGGGTTGGTCATATTGGTTTTCTTATTGGATCACTATTGCCGATGAACTTGAGGTATGTCTTTCGAGAACGAAGACCATGGGCCATCTTGTCAAGCGGGTGCTAACTTTTGCAAGGGAGTGGTCACTGTGCTGCACTACTGGACTGATCAAGTGCCAACCGCCGCCTGGATCTCTATGTTCTGGGTGGTCATCATCCTGATCAATATATGAGCCGTCACGTTCTTTGCTGAAGTTGAGATTTTCTCATCGTCAGTAAATTACGGCTGGTGGTGCCCCCGAGGGCGATGCTATTGGCTTCCGATATTGGATGCTGAGCCGTTCACAAACCGGATTCAAAGGTTTTTCGTCCGTCCTGCCCACCTGTGTGTTCTCCATGGCTGGGTCCGAAAACGCGGCTTTAGTGGCGACTGAAGTTGCCAATCCCAGGCGCTCAGTCCAAAGGCAGTAGGATCCATATGGGTTCGCCTTGCTCTTTTCTACATCTTGGGCTCACTAATAATGACCCTATGTGTTTCTCACCATGATCCAAACCTTTTGGTGGTTCACGAAGCAATGCATCCCCATTCGTGATCGCCTATAAGAACGCTGGTATTCCTTCCCTAGCGCATATTACCAATGCAGTCATCTTCGTCTCTGTAGTCTCTACGGGGCGTATATCTGCATATGGAGGATCACGTTTGTTGGTCGGACTGGCACATGTTCAGATGGCTCCTTTAGTACGTATCAGTCCACCCTGACTATTGTATCATATCAGCCACTGACTACACTTTGTACAGATTTTCAAGAAAACAGACAAAACCGGTAGATCCTGGGCAGGTTACGTCCTCACTCTGACAATGGACGGCGCCCTTGCATACCTCAACGTGTCTCATACAGGTGCAGAGGTGGTTTCCTGGCTGCCAAGTCGAGTCTCCCTCCTGACCCTGTTCGGTTGGGCCATGATCTGTCTTTCTCATTTGCGGTTCCGGTACGCTTGGAAGCTACAGGAGCGCTCAGACGCTAGCAGAGTTGATAACTAGCTTTCTGATAAGTTGAAATATTACGGTAAATAAATTACGTAGTGCGTAAGTAATATATCACTAAACATTTGAGTCTTTGACTACAAGATACTGCCGACTGAGACAGCTGTATGCTGGATGTGTTCCTTCTACCTTAGTTTGCTGTTGAGCACCGCCCCTGACAAGCTTGCTGTGTCTGTGGGCTTGATGATGGTTTTATCTTGCATGGTGATCTAACTGTTTCCTTTCTCACCCTTCTATCCTGTGATATAGATGAGCTCTGTTTTTCCCCTGCAAAGTGTGATCCTGTTTGGCAGGCCCATGCTCTGATCTGAGGGATGTCTTCTTTGTAGATTTTCTTAGGGGTCTTCTTTTGACGGGCCTGTTCTCCATTGGAAGTAGTTATTGATTGGAGCTGATGTAGCTCCGTACTGGCTGGTCCATGAGGTCACAGCTGAAAAATGCGAAGAGGATTGGTGATAGTGGGGATCCTTAGGCTAGCCCAGTATTAGCAAGAATGTATTTAATGTCTCAAAGTCGCTGGCTCAATGCTAGCTAGGCAACTCTATACCCGCCAAGTCCTCAGCTGGATGGCCAGACATTGAGTTTGGGCTGTAAAGTGCCCAAGCCGCCCCCTGCCGCGGCCCGTACCCCCCGGGAAGCTCCGGCCGCTAAAGTTATACCCCTCCGCCTAATAGTCAAATTCGTTATTCACCAAGGCATGCAGTAGGTGATTAGAAAGGTATGCTATTGTCCTATCTAAGCTTGTATGCAACAAGGCACTCTTTTTATTGAGGATATCATAGATATCAACTATACTTTATTAGAATAGTAACCTTGGCCCAGCAGATAATTCTACGTGTTCAGTTGTGCCTCTCCTGAGGGAGGATTTGGCTGAGTAGATCAGTTAGCAATTCAATGCCTATTCACTCAATATAGCCTATCGTCGCTTGATATATAATGCCTACCCCCAGCTTCCGCCTTATCGCCTATTGATTCCCCTCAACACTTTTCTTCAATCTTCCCTGGCTCTGCTCTAACGGCCATTCACGTCGAACCTGAACCAAAGACAGTCATCGAAGTGCTGATGTCCTCCCTTAGCAGTCTCCCACGACCATTCGCACCAATCGATGAGATCAAGAAAGATAGCACCGCAGTTGTCTCCGACATATCTATCGTGGTCGCACGTGTTCGTAACCCAGTACTCGATCTTAACCGTCGGTAGCCACTTGACGGTGTAGAGTTCTCCGTTCCGGAAGTTCTTAAACTTATGCGTGTTGCAGAAATCCTGGCTACCCCAGTAGGAATCCCCACGGTTCGAAATTGCGCCGCTGCAGTAGCAATATTTATTTTCATACCATTGGTTGCAGTTCACACCGGCGCCGAAGCCCCCCCGTTTTTCGAGGCCAGAGGTGGCATTTCCAGGGTTTTCCCCCAAAAGGGCCACTATATGAGAGTCATTAGTTTAGGACTGGCTGGTTGGAGGGAGTGACTCGAGGCTCTGTCTTAGCGAAACAGGTGATTGGCAACTCACACTTCTCATCGGTCAATTCAACGAAGTCAGCCGTGATAGTGTAGGGCTCGCCTTTCTCAGTGACACCAGTAGAGATAATGGTTCCGGTGATAGGTTTGAGTTTATCCGACTCAGACGTAGGAATAGCGGAAGAGAAGCCGCTAAGTGTAAAAGCAACAAAGAGGAGATTGAGAAGCTTCATGATGTACTGAATGCGAGGAAAGGTAAGAAGAAACTGTTCTCTGAGGTCGTTCTCTGAGGTTGTTCTCCTTGCATGTGTGATGGCTTGAGGGAAATCCACTGTTCTTATAGTCAGAGCAGGATACTAGCGCCTTGTTCATCATACATGCGTACAGTCTAAAGGATTCTCTGGTAGTATTCCCTGGAAGGATTCTCTGGCTGGCCTTGGGTGGTATTGCGGCATATTTGGAGGTCAAAATGGCCCAATCAATAGACTCTCTTTCTACAGATGCATCGCTGAAGCACGTCCACCTTGTCCACCACATCCATTTACAGGGGTCAATTTCGGGCTGTATGTAATAGTATGTCCAGAAAGTTGAGTGGAAACATTGATAATTGACTAGGAAAGGGAGCTGGATCCAAACGCCAAGAAACCCGCTGCACGCATGTTCCTTCTAAACTGGGGCAGCTCACTCCAATTGGCGGTAGAAAAATCCGAGCTTATCCGACAGGCTGTGAAGAAGAGGTGGGAAATGGGAATTGCACTCAAGTTTTGCGGCTGAAGGCAAGCCTGGGAATAATTCCCTGTCAGTTCTCGTATTTCCCCACCCGTGTGCCTGTAGGGTCAGATGCGATAGCGGAGTCTTTCCTCTTTTTGGCTCCGCTGGTCATTATTAGGCCAATCCGTCAGCAATGGTATATGTGCTGTGGAAGGGGCCAAAACGGCCATGCCAAGGTGGACTCAGGCGTTAACCCCGGCACTAACTCTGGCATTCTAGCTAACTGCTCTGACAGTTTTGTAGCGGCTGATTTCCCGCTATACAGCCGGTGAGCTGGGTATTAGATGCACCCTCGGTCCGAACTCCGATACGCTGAATCAGGCCGCTATTTCGGGGTGAGCGAAGCGAAGCAAGGTCCTTATGGGCAATGGTAGGTCACCTCCCTCATTCCAGTTACTTCGAGTCCCCGACCTGGTGTCCTTGCGTAATGTTTACACCGTTGACGGCTGCAGTTGAAATTTCCACCTGGGATTGGGTGGGTGCTTCAGGTGTTCAGGGCTCAAGCACAAATTTATGTCTTTGAAGAGGGCCAGGATCAGTGTTATACATAGCCACTTAAGACTGTATTAGAGAGGGATGTGGCTGGCTGAATAGCAGTCAGACCCAAATTAACTACCCAAACCCCGATTTGGCGTTACGCTTGACATCCCGATGCGCTACTATGAAGCGACGATGTCCACGAATGGTAGGTAGTTGGGCTGGGCGTTTGTTCAAGCCCAGCCCCTACCATTCGATGGATTTTATTTTACTTTGTCCCCAATTCAGTATGCACCACAGATGCCAAGTAAACAGTGCTGACGTCCAACAATAAGTCGTCAAGTACGACACCGTTGATTTGCTGAGCAGTGAGTCGATCTCAACCTTGGTTACTTGTTCTGTAGCTATGAATCAAGATTCGTGGTGAGAAATATTCAAGCGACTTATGCTGGCACCGTGAGTATTTCAAAAGAAAGCGGGTGCTGGAGCACTTCCACAGAGAATAACCCCATCCGGGGTCTCGAGCGCCATATCAGCTACGTCCACAGGAACATCCATTGAAGAGAATGGGAGGACCTGTAACTTTGGCACCATCACCGATTTTTTTTGATTATGCCAACAAGAACGGTCTAAATATCACCGAGGAGGTCCAGAACTGCCAGAATCTGTGCCTGCTCACATACGGGGTGGGAAACCCCGATCTTTCTGACAGGGTAAGTTAAGTTCGCAGAGACAAAAGTTTCTCCATGTTCATCACAAACGCTAGCTGATCAATTGTGCTTCCTTCTAATCCAGATGATGTATGCATATAGCATATAAACTGACTACCATCCTCATCAGTCCTGTTTATCGTATAATCTATCTTACTTTAGCGCCAGCAAGCGCCTTAATCCGACACTTGAGAGACATTTAAACAAGTTTCTTCACCTCAAATAGCTTCTTTATTTGTTCCTCCGCTCTACCACGATTGCAAACCTGTCACAGGTGACAGAACCCACCCGCCTTTGAGATCACCGAGACGCAGGCCATGGCATTTCTGCAAGTTAACAGCATCCTCGTGACCTTTTTCTGCTGGTCATCACATAACCAATGTCGTGCTAGGCCGAGCGAGTGCTGCTCTATTTCGCAGTGTTTGTCCTAGTGATTGTGACCCTGGGCCAGAGCCACCTGGGCAGTGACAGCAGGGCAGATTGAAGGCTTGCCTCTGAGGGCTGCGCGCATAGCTCAAGAGAATACAGCGTCGTCAAGCCTGTCCTAAACCCATCATGGACTGTCGCTATCTTTGCCGGGTATATTGATAGTATGGTAGATAGTATGGCAGTCAATGATCATTTGAAATTTCATGATAGCAAAAATTCACTGAATGATAGCGGTTTGACTCGCCCAAATCAAATTTAATCTAACTATGATTAGTTAGTGCAGGCCAAACTGGGCCTATCTAGGCCTAGTGGCGGATTTTGCGGTTAAACTCGAACCAACTCGGATCGGATCCGATTTGGATTCGGTTCTAACTGGCGTTGGACTTGCCCGCACCTCGGACCGAATGCAACTCTAGTTTAAAATTCACTAGTAATCTATATGGCCAATTGAATCAACAAAGGTCTGATTCTTCCAAGCAAATGACTATCTAGCTCCCTGCTCCTATTTATCCCTTTGATAGAGCTCAGATTTCTGCTGCTAAACTCTAAAACTCGGTGGGCGCACCCTATCAACCCTGGCATATACTCAGCGAGGAAGAAAAGCTCACCTTTCATACTGACCAATAATAAATCGTTTCTTCTCAATCCAATGAAATGACTACGTTTGGCTGTTGGGAATCTGCAACTAGTTCCACCGCGAAGGATAGATGGCGCCTTGGCAACTCACCAATCGCGGGTGAGCTGGTGAGCGTTCGCGCGAGGGTCATCCCTGCATGCTCACCTCGCTCAGCCCCTCCAAGGACCCGCTCACCCAAGTCGCGCGAGCTCAGGGCAGCACTGCTCGCCTACTAAAACAAGAAGGGTAATGGCCTTGGTGGCCGTAGTTTTCTGCTCGGTAGGAAGGGGCCAGTCTGGCCTCGTCGAGGTACGAGGTCTATGTTCTTGGATGCGCGGACTACGAGTCGAAAGAAGTTTCGATATGTATGGGCGTTCATATTACTCACAGGTAGGGCTTCGCGACCACACTCGCTCTATTTCGGTCTTTTCTTTGTACTGGTGCTTACACAGTACGTTGGCAATCCTGCTAAGACACCGACGTTGAAGCATCCAAAGCCCCATGCGGACCAGACGCCGTCGACGAATCGGACAGCTCAATCATTCGCCGCAATCCACTTGTGCCACATATTATCATGATGATTATTACAATCATTGGTCGAAATTGGCATTTGTATAGCTGATACGATTGACCTTTTCGACGAACGGATAGTTCTGACCGACGGACAAAGATATGGTCATTGTCATTGATGATTGTCTGATGTCGGAAAGTATCCGTCAAGGAAGTTTATCCCTCATCAGCATGAAGGAAGGGAATATAAAAGGGGGTTCAAAAGCAGATCTGGGTAATGCGATATTCAGACGCTTCAAATCAGTCATATTATATACTTTCTATCTATTTCCATTAACTTGAAGATGGGCTCCCTGGCAACGTCCGGTGCAAGAGCCGTCCAGATCTTCTCCCAGCGAGGTCAAACTGCATTAGCTCATGGCTCCAAGAGTATAATGTGGGATATCATCAGCAATCTTTGGGATGCAGAGACCAATCCGGATGGCTATGTTTCCATCGGAGTCGCTGAGAATGCTCTCCTCCACGACACGCTGCTGGAGTACATCCACAGCGACATTCGTCTCACAGCAATCTATCTGACGTACAACGACGGGAGCATGGGCTCTATGAAGCTCCGCAAAGCTGTTTCGCATTTTCTCAACGGTCATCTTCGGCCGGTTCACCCCGTTAACTCCAGCATATCGTCAATACTAGCGGATGTTCGTCGGCAATCGAGCAACTTAGCTGGGCATTCATGGAGCCCGGCGAAGGTATGCTGCTCGGTAAACCGTATTATGGTACATTCATCGCTGATATATCGGTGCGACCCAGCGCGGTCGTGATCCCCGTCAACTTTGGCAAGGTCAATCCGCTGAGCCCAGAGGCTATCAGCCAGTACAAGAAGGCTGTAACAGACTTTGAGTTCAGTACTGGGAATCACGTACCGGCCGTCATGCTCTGCCATCCGCACAATCCTCTTGGGCGCTGCTATCCCCGGTCTGCCATTATAGACTTGGTGAAGATGTGCCAGGCACATCAGATGCACCTCATCAGCGATAAAATCTATGCACTTGCTGTGTGGAATAACCAAATCGACAAGGATGTGCCTCAGGTCCCGTTCGAGTCGATCCTGTCGATTGACCCAGCAGGCTTGATCGATGCAGACCTTGTACATGTTCTTTGGGGCATGAGCAAGGACTTCGGCTCCAATGGTTCTGCGCGTCGGCGCCATCATTTCGCAGTCCAATCCTGAGCTGCACTCTGCACTCAAGGCAATGTCGTTGTATTCTTATGTATCTAGTCTATCCGATCAGATCACCTCGTCCCTGCTGCTTGACGATACCTTCACGGATCGGTATATCACCCTCAACCGCGAGAGACTGTCTGACGCTCATGCCTACTTCGTCCAATGCTCAAGGACAACGGCATCGAGTACACGAAAGGCTGCAACGCTGGTTCCTTTGTGTGGCTCAATCTTGGCAAGAAGTACTTTGAAGCCAATCCTGGCGAAAAGGTAAGAAGCGGCACCGAGTTGACGGACATGATCATGCAAAGGTTACTTGACAATAAAGTCTTCCTGGCCAGTGCGACAGGATTTGGTTCTGAGAAGCCGGGTTAGTTCCGTGTAATATTTGCCCATCCATTGACGTATCTGGAAGAGGCAATGAGACGGATTCTCGTGGCAGCCGGGACGAACGAGTGCATTTCTGCTGTGAACATTTCTTTTGTAGCTTCATCGTCTTTATGATTCATATTCCGTTGCGGTGTTTGTGCCCCTCGAGCAGTTGTCTTTTGCTTGTCCAAATAGGTAGCAAGCGGCTAGTAAGAATATCAGCAGTTATCTATTACAACTGCGCAAAAGTTAGTAGGGTAAGTCTGTGTTGCTTGTCATGAGACAGAGGCAAAATAAGGGAGACACAGATTAACTGAGACGTATAAGTGCTACGACTTTCGCCAATTACGCTTGTAGCCTCGTAGCAATCCGGGCCATCCTATAGGGTAACTGCATTTGCCACTTTAACACAGTATTTCTGCTTTATCATCTTCGTCCTCCCTTGGTGCAAACACCGAGATATACCTATTTTCGCCAACTTCGGTGTTTGAAGAACCAGGTTTTGCAGATTCTGGCAACAAAATCATGTCTAACACCTGAATATGTGCATCTCCTAGATAGTTCTTGGTTATGCATGTTACTCTTACTAATTGCATCAACTATGCTATACCTCATTATAAAAACCAGCCACATATCATCTTCCTCTCATGAGAAGAGTAACTTCATCTGTGATCACTTTGTTGGCTCGAAACAAGTTTTTTTATACTCTCCGACGTTCTTGATTTCCCATTATGTCTTCTCACGATGGGCATGTAGTTCCTGTGGCCCCGACAGATGACTACTACAATCAGGTACCTTCACTCGCGAAATCAGCACGGAGAGTGGGCAGGCCCAGGTTTGGTTCAACCGCGGCCTCATCTGGAGCTACTCTTTCGACCATGATGAGGCCTGCAAGTGCTTCGAGCAGGCCATTGCACATGATGGAATGTGTGCCATGGCCTACTGGTGATTAGCCTATGCTGCAGGGCCCAACTGCAATAAGTCCTGGCACCTGTTCGACCCGAGTGATCTGCAACAGAGCATGAAGCGGTGCCATGACGCTGCTCGCAAGGCGCGGGAGTTGGTTAGCACGGGGCAAGCGACAATTACTTCGATTGAGGCGGCGCTTATCCACGCCATTCAGTCCCGATTCCCGGTCGACCATTCCGTGGAGGATTTCAGCGTGCTGGACAAGGAGTATGCGAGCGCCGTGGAAAAGGTGTATCACCAGTATGGGGAGAACCACCTCGACGTGGTGACACTGTACGCCGATGCACTGATGCATACTGCTCTGCGTAAATTGTTCTACGAGCAGAGTGGTCTTCCCATTGAGGGCTCTCCAGTCGACCAAGTCCAGCGTGTCTTTGGTCGTGGTCTTCAACATAAGGATGCAAACCGCCATCCAGGCATCCTACATCTTTTCATCCACTTCCTTGAGAGATCGGCGACCACCCCCTGCTGCTCTACCTGCAGCAGATAAGCTTCACAACCTTGTTCCAGATGCAGGTCATATGCACCACATGCCAACCCATTTGGATGTTCTGGTTGGAGATAGACGGTCCATCGATTCCGATACAGCTGCTGTTCGCGCAGACGAGAAGTATCTTGCTCGAGCGTGCAAAAAATTTCTGCAGCTTCTACCGCCTGCGCAATTACCAGTCACTCATCTATGCAGCGATGCTGGCCGGGCAGTCAAAAGTGGCCATGAAGGCTCTAAATGACATGGAAGCCTCTATTACAGACCACGTCCTCCGTGTTAAATCGCCCTCACTGGCAGATTGGATGGAATTCTTCAAGGCAGTCCGCGTACACGTCTACATCCGGTTCGGTACGTGGAAGGAGATCATCAATCTCCCCCTACTGCTCGACTAGGATCTGTACTGTGTCACGACTGTGATGACCCACTATGGCAAAGGCATCGCTCTCGCTGCAATGGGCAACATAGCCGAGGCAGAACAAGAACGGGAACTCTACCACGCCGCCGCTAAAAGAGTCCCACCGACCCGGAAGGACTTTCCTAATCTCATTGTTGACGTGCTCAAGATTGCTACCGCCATGTTGGACGGGGAGATCCAGTACCGTCGTGGCAACTTCACAAGCGCCTTTGAGTACCTCCGCGAGGTAATCCGCCATGATGACTCGCTTCTTGTACACGGAGCCCTGGGGGTGGTTGCTACCCACGCGCCATGCATATGCCGCTTTGTCACTCGAACAGGGACATGTAGAGGAGGCTCTGAGAGCCTACGCGGAAGATGGCTCGCTAACGCGTGCGCAGTAGTATCCGAATAATGTCTGGGCTTTGCATAGGTATCATGAGTGTCTCTTGAAATTGGGGCGAGAGGAGGCGCGTATTATCAAGCAGCAGCTGGATGTCGCTCTTGCCGTGGCGGATATTGAGATCAGGTCGTCTTGCTTTTGTCGGCTTGCTGTGTCTGGGACAAAGAGTGCAGCGTGTTGCAGATAGTGATAGGACGTGGGGATTCTTGGGAGGGTTCAATATAGTTGGGCGGTGGCACTGCATTGCCTAAGACGGACATCGAGGGTTGATCAGACTCCATGGAAACTGTGTGATACGCACCGTACTAGGCTAGTCACCATAGATTACATCAATATGGTGTATAATCAGCTCTATTACCTTCCTCCCAAACCATACTAGAGTCGAGGGCTTCCTGACCTTCGTCAGGCTATATGTCTTCCCTTCTTCCTGAAGAGGCACATGTATAGATGTCAGCAACGAGGAAAGGGTAGGGTCACAGAGAAAGCATCTACTGAAGAAATATCAGGTGAGATTCGCAATTACTAATAAAGTGTTGATGCTCGCGGCCTTGCAAATGGAGGTTCAGGCAATCTGCTACCAGTCTGCTGTCAGTTACGTTGTCAGAGTGTAGCCATCTGTTATAGTCTGCGATTCTCTGCTACATATTACACGAGTTCGTCACAGATATCCAGCTCTATCCCTCGGATTCCCTACGTGAGCTCTCTCGATTTAATCCTTGGTTCAAGGGGACAAATTATACTGCTTCCACGTGGGCTTATCGAACGGCATGGTGTATCGCTCCTGGAGGAAAAGGGACACTTCCTGGCCGGCCAAGTGGGAAAGGCTTGGTATTGCCGGCATCTCGTCTGGCATCACCGCGATGGAATGTGAAGGTTCAATCTACATCGCCGGTAAGTGCTCACCCGAGGGGGCCATTGGCGTCTATGAGGTAAGCGGGAAGACCTTCAGCCTTCCTGGGCAGTATTGCGTGGGGACGCCCACAGCTCTCACCCAGAACTCCACTCACCCGAATAGGCCGACTGTGTGCTACTCTGGGTTCAACGCTGGGGTGGTTAAGTGCGGGTGATAGTTGCAAGACAAAGATAGAGGTGGGGGTAGTATTTAAGGCTAGCAAGTAGTATACTAAATATTAGGAAAGAATGACTCGTAAGGGAGGGAAACCTCTAGGTTGACTGTGAGCCTTGCAGTCGAGAACATCAAAGCTGATTTAGATCCCCACTTCTGGGGGATTGGAATACCAGCAGGCAGTCTTTGGGCACAGCTCCTCCCGGAAAGTATCATGCCTCCTCGCTTAAGCGAGATTGCATGTGGACTACTGGATGGAGCGGAGTTCGACTTCGGACTATCGGAGCCATTGGGAGGACACGTTCTAGATGCAATAGAGTGCAGTTTGTATTTCACCTAAACCTAAGGAGACAATAAATCTCAAAATTTACAGAACATGCAGACTACAATGCTATGTGCGTAGCTAAGGTTGAGGCGAGTCATTGATGGAGCTACCATCCAGCTGGCCCTACTTCCTAGACGTTGTTGGATCAATAGAACTGACATGCTGCCGTTACTGGTCCAAGACTGAATATAGTTGGTCTATTATCTTGGTCTATTTGGCTAAACGAGAGTCTTACTATACAGCAAAATGAAGAAAAGAAGACTAGCGCCGCAGTAGAACGTGCCTCATCAAGAGAACAAATTCGGCCAATTTGGTGCGTTAACTGTCATCGAACCTCACGCTTACAGGGCAGCCAAAGCGAGGCAGACGGCAACGACAGCGCCGAAGATGGAGCCCGAGAGACCGCTGGCAGCGTTGCTCAGGATGTTAGAAGTCGAAGGCGCGGAGGAGCTGCCGGTGGAGGAAGAGGACTGGCCGGAGGCACCGGAGCCAGAAGAGCCGGAAGAGCCAGAGGAAGAGGAGCCAGAAGAGGAGCCGGAGATGGCGCTGCTAGAGGGACGGGCCGACGAGGTAGAGTTCCATGAGCCGGTACCGTTGTAGGAGGCACCGGGTCCCTTGCCAACGGTGAAGGTGGGCTTAGCAGAGCCAGCCGCGCCGGAGGAAGCGGCCGCGGTAGCGAAACCAGAGGCCTTGCCGCCGGCAACAGACGAGGCCGAGGGGAGAGCAGTGGAGGAAGCGGCAGCGGAGGAAGATGAAGCGGAGCAGGACAGGTCAAAGAGAGGAGTCGTGCTCAGAGTGCTGCCGACGATACCGAAGCTGGGGTTGGGGGTCACCGGGTTGGCATCCTGGAGCATGTACCACCAGGTGTTGGTCTTGCCGAACAGAGGGCATCCCACCTCGTCCCAGTAAGTCTTGGCGTTGGCCAGGTTGGCGACGGCGAGGTTCTCGGTTTTGCCGCTGACGGGCCAGCCAGTCTCGGTAATCCAGACCTCCTTGCCCTTGGCGACAGCCTCGGTCTTGGCCACGGAGTCATCGAAAAGAGCCTTGGCATCGGAGATGGAGTTGGCCATGGTGTTCTGGAAGTACGGGTAGCCATCGAAACCCAGCCAGTCGCAGGCATCAATGACAGCCGAGTTGGAACCGTTGACCCAGGCGGTCCAGGTATCGACGTGGCCGATGGGGGCACCGCTCAGCTTGGTGCCAGCAATGGTGGAACGGACCTGGTTGATGTACGAGACGATCTCATCCGGGTTGGCGCCGAGGCCAGCCTTGGCCTTGACCCCGTCGACCGAGTTCCGGTACAGATCCTCACTGCCGACGGAAATACCGACAACCAGCTTGGCCAAATCATCTCCGTAATCGGCAATGGCGGCCTTGAGGGCGGCGATTTCGTTGGCGAAGTTTCCACCGGAAGCCCACAGGCCGAGCAGAAGGGAGGTTTCCTCGGCGACGGCGGCAGGGATAGCAGAAATGGGGGTGTTGGCGGTGCCTCCTTGCTGGTTGGAGGATCAGTCTCTGGAAAAGGTCATGACCATAGAAAATGTAGGGCAAAAACTCACAATCATGGTGTACAAGCGGGCACTGGTGAAGCCGGAAGTGCCCACCAGGTTCTTGGCCGTCGAGAATTCGGACTGGAAGTCAGACTGGGACTTGGCGCTGCCATCGGACTTGGTATTGCCATAGTTGAAGCCTTGGTGAGCAGCCTCGGAGGTAGCGAGCGCCAGAGCAAGCGCAACAAGCTGTGTGAATTGCATCTTGAAGGTTCTGGAAAAGAGAGTGCGTAGAAAAGAAGGTGCAGACGTTGATTAAAGAACGTAGATATGTCAAAGTCAAGAAGGAAGGATGGACTTAGAGGGAGAGAACGAATGAATTGAACATTGGATGTCAAAGACAAAGACCAAGTTCGAGTTGAATACAACAAAGCAGATGAGAAGAAGAGAGACGACAGAGAGAGAAGGACAGCAGAAGAAGAGTCCCTAAATAACGAAGCAGGTCTAGACTCTGGGCCGGTTGACCTGTCCATCTGGTAGCATCTGGTCCAAGTGGGCCGGGGGACACGTTTGCTCCCATCGGTCAGGGCTTGTCCCGGAACTAGAACAATACTATCAAGTTCTGAACACTAAAGATAGCATTGCCGGATCGGAAATGCATGGATTTGATTGCTCCGAATACAATAATGTGCAGCTGCCTGGTGGCTAGGGTATTAAAAAATCAGACAGGAACCATGGAAAGGGACAAAATCCTGAGAGAGGGCCCTAATTCCCTCAGTCCAATAGTGGATGAGAAGAGGCAGTGGCTGAGAGGACTACCAATCAGCACAAAGGTGGCAAATGGAGGATGGTGTGCAAATGGCTTAGTGCAGTGGGTATTGTAGCCACCAGTGGGGCTTTTAAATGGTCCTGCAAATGAAATTGGGCTCGGCTGTCTTGCAACCTTCCCTGTCCTAACACTACTATGAAGCCAAATCAATAGTCCCTCCAAATGACGACATTTAAAAATAGCAATCCTCAGTCCAGGTAGGATGGTCTGTCATGATGGATTTGGCATCAGACTTAGAATTATCAAAATCACATGGCTTGGAAACCCCTGATTATCCTGCACGGGTACCTGAATAACCGACATTCAGGAGCGATTCAAGACAGTGCGGCATTGTCCAGTAATATTACGCCAAAGCATCTATCTGCTCCATATTATCTCTTGCAGTCAGCCGAAAGCAGGTTTCGCCTTGTCTTCATACTTTATTCTCAAGGTATCGAGGGAGTAGAACAAAATGCTTTCGCCCCCTTCGCAGTGCTGAATCTCTACCTGGGTGAAAGAAACCTTACATTACAACCTTCTCGTTGGGTACATTCCAGGTTGAGCTTTCATATTTTGCTCTGCAACATGCCTGCATTAAGCTTAAGTTAACGTGGAAATATCCTGATGCCGTATGCTACTCCATTGTTTCTGGTCTAATGGAGACACATGTGTCCATTGTCTACCGGACCAGCCTATGTTGCTGTTCCCGTTCCGGAGTAGATTAAGGCAACAAGATATATTTCCGCAAACGTAGTAGGTTCGTAACATGCCACCACCAAGACGACAATCTCAGGGGGATAACCCAACATTTGGATTAAATAATACTATTGTTTGACTGCGAAATTGTTTTCAGGTTTTTTGACATGGGAACTTTGACTAAAAATTAGCCATGCTCATGCCTCACTGCTGGTAGTCACGTGACGTGGATCACATGCCTGGGCGCATTCTTCTGCACAAGGCGTAGATGTATTCTCAAGTCTCTTGACCCAGTTCGCAGCTTCTGTGGAAATAAATGCGTGTCTTAATGCCAGGGGATTACTGGCGTGGTTTCATCACTGCAGGCGAAGTTCAGATCGGTCGGCAATCCCAGATCAAAAGAAGCAAGCATTTCATTTCGTCTGTTCAACTTGCCTTTCCCCAGTAAGTCATAATAGACAGGACGTGATATTTACCTGTTTGACATACTACAACTATCGTCAAACCTCCAACCATATCTACCTACATAAAGTGAACGAAAAGATACCAGAATTTCAAACAATGATAATCAGCCACTCTCACTTGAACCAATATCCCGTCAGTCCCTCGATCGTCCTCTTGCCGACATCGTGGTGCCGGTTCTCCTCCCAAACCTTGCCTCCCTCTCCAAATTGATTGGACAAATGGCCCAAGAAAAAGTCCAAATTTTGTTGGCATTGAGGAAAGGCGTTCTTAAAGAAGTCATAGAGCTCCTGGACCTGCGGTTTAGTCGGTGCATAGGTGACCTTTTCTGCAAAGAGATCCAAGTATTTCTGCGTGTGCGCAATGTCTGCTTTGGCATCTAGGTCCCAACCAGGCTCCAAATGTCCTGGAATGACCTTGACGGGCTGTAGAGCAGAAATGAGCGTGATGGTCTTCTTCCATGCGTCCAGCAAAGCAGGGGTTTCCACCTCTTCCACCCTGTGTCAAAGAGGAAAGTCAGTAGTTGACGCGGCGTCGAGGTATTATAGCCTCACCAAACATGTGTGCTTCGACCATAGATAGTATCGCCACAGACGACCGTCTTTTCAATCGGCAGCCAGAAGATGGTGTGGTCAACACTATCTCCTTGCAAGGGTCCCAGCAGCACCACTGGGCTTTCGGGGTTGCCGTTCAGCAAGAAGAACCCGAAATTGAATACCTCCGGCTTTCTAGGGGCTTCGGGAACATTTTCGTGTCCGAAGATAGTAGGCCAATACTTGACCTTGTCATCATATTCGCGGTTGATGCCCTCCAGGACATAAGAGGCAGCATAGAATTTGGCCGCGGGGAACGCATCCAGAATAGGATTTGCCGAAAAGAAATGGTCAGGGTGATGATGCGTGACAAAGACGGCTTTAAGCGGATTTACGGTGGTTTCTTTGATCCAGCGTACAACAGATAAAGCATCAGGGATCAGAAAGGGCGGGTCTATGAGGATAGACTCCGAGGCTCCGACGATCAAGGTAGTGATGCTTGACAGGCCTTTGATAGATGAGGTATGATGATAAGTTTGGAGAGGCATGATGGATTGAATAGCAGGAACGTGCAATATGTCCATGCGTGAATGGAAAGAGGAGTTAATGTACCTCGATCAAACCCTTTCTGACTGTCATCATCCTCCTGCTGGCTCGTATATCTGGTAGCTTGTGCGTGTTTCCCCTCATTCTTAGCCCCGCTTATGCCAACCATCATCTGCCGACATCATGGGAAATCTCCCAGTACGTGCCTGTGGAATCCTCGAATCTCAGCTCTAGATCGGGGAGGATCAATTCCGCCTGCGTGTGACGTGGACATCGCCGGCAATCCCCCAATGAGGATGGCCATATTTTGTATTGTCTCGTCTTTCTTATACGATGTCACAGTCTTTTGCGGGGTGATCGTGTCGATCAAGTGGATCATCAATGGAATCCGGGGGATTCCCGTTTGCCTAGGTTGGGACGAGGAGAAGACGATGATCTCGTATTCATTATATCCTCTTGACAAGGGCATGTGGTGATCCATTGCATATATATCCACCAAGTTTACGTTTTCCGGATAGTCACATATACAGTAGAAATCATCCATCATGGCTCAATTTCATCCCACCATTACCCCCGAATCTCTGAAGGACAAAGTTATTGTTGTCACGGGTCAGTCGTGTATTTACTATCCCCAACATCCGCGGCTCACACAGCAATAGGCGGCGCCAACGGGATCGGAGCAAGTCTAGTCGAGTACTGCTGCCAGCAGGGAGCGTATGTCTGTTTCGGCGATGTCGCTGAGGATGCTGGAAAGCAGATCGCTCAGTCGCTGTGCTCATTCGGCTCATCGTCATCCCCACGAGCCATCTTCCAGCACACCGATGTTACTAGCTATCAATCTGTACTCGATCTATTTGACCTGGCCCTCAGGACATATGGCCGCGTTGATCATGCCGTTGCCTGTGCAGGTATTATGGAGATTGGCAACTTGTTCGACCCCGCCTTGACGCTGGAAACAGTTCGCGAGGTGCGTTACTACTCTACGTGTTGAGCTTCAATTTTAACGACGAAAAGGCGCCCACGACCAAAGTCCTCGATGTCAATCTGACGGGCTGTCTCTATGTTGCTCGCATCGCCAGCCTGTACCTGCGCCAGAACCGCCCGGAAAATGCAGACCGGTCGATTACCCTCATCTCCTCGGTCGCTGGATTCAAGGAATCTCCCGGCATGTTTGTTTACCAAGCTTCCAAACATGGAGTGCTCGGGCTGATGCGTTCGCTGCGTTTGTACCTGTCTTCCCCAACTCATCACATCCGAGTCAACGCCATCTGCCCATGGATGACGACCACGGCCATGGTCAAGGGTGTGAAAGAAGCTTGGATGAAGGCAAAACTGCCGTGCAACACCCCCGCAGACGTTGCTCACATCATCGCCGGTGTTCTGGCAGATTCATCGCTCAACGGCAAGTCCATGTATGTCGAAGGAGGGCGCGGATGGGAGATCGAAGCGAACATTGATCGATTAGAACCTCAGTGGTTGGGTGAAGAACCGTCGCGATCTCTGGCGCAGGGACAGGCAGTGCTCGGCAGTGGCATGGAATGGGCTCAATAGCAATTGAATTGTATCTATTCGAGACAAATGAGAATATTCCATAGTTTGAGTATGTCACTGCAAGAGACATCCCAATGTAGTCATCATATCCGGATGATCGGCAATGGATATGAGTTTAGCCGGTCGACATGCTTTGCACCGATGATTGGACTCCTGTCTATGCTCATGTGCATGCTCCTCTCCATTTTGCTGTCTCTCAGTTGAAACTGATTCTCCTCTTGTGGTTCTCCACATTAATTCAAATACCAAACCACCTGTTATGGATCGAAAGCCACCCGACTCCTCGGCTAGTCTGGATAACCAGCATCCTCTTGTTGATTTGGATCTGCTGGACGATCGACATTCTGGCGATGTTGGCCATCAACGAGATTCTATCCCTGCGCATGGGGTCACCATGTGGTGAGCTGCCTCTCGATATCTATAACTTATACCCACTGCTGAAGTAAAATAATCCCCCAGGAACCATGTAATGATTGTCTGCGCCGGTTTCGCCGTCATGTTCACCACTTGCGCTTTTATCTTTGCCTTTGGTGTCTACCAAGCTCTATACGAAGAAATGGCCCAGGAAGCGCATTCTCCTTTCGTAGGTCAATCCACCGCGCGGATTGGCTTGATTGGAACGCTAGCTATCGCTCTCATGTCTATGGGAGGTCCTCTGGCAATGTCCT